TGTACTTTGCTTGTTGTGGTTTATAGTTAGATACCAGATTACATTAAGATGCTACTCAGCAGATATAAAAATAGTTCAAATAGAGGACACAATTATTTGTTTAGACAATGAAATGTAAGTCGCTTTGGATAAAAGCGTCAGCTAAATGACCTGTAATGTAATGTAAATTCCACATCCCGATATGCATTAAATTAAATTCAAATGTATTTAGATTGAAGTTCTGTAATACGTCCAATCTGTGCAGTGAAAAATAAGGACAACATTGAGGAAACATGAGGAAATGAAGTGTTATTTCATCATTTCCATTTCACCTGCATGAGCTCCAGTGAATTGTATACGCAGTACCGGCCAAATATTAGACACACTTTCTCCTTGAATGGAACCGGTACTGTAGTTTAGAGGAGTTAACGGGCAAATCTAAACGAGTAAGAAGGAAGAGGACAACAATGCACCTCATCTAGCGTTTTGTACCCCTGTGTGTTCAGATAACGACGAGCCGTTACTCAGCGGGTCAGGTGACGTTTCCAAGGAGTGTGCAGAGAAAATCCTTGAGACCTGGGGGGACTTGTTGTCCAAGTGGTAAGGCTTTGTTCCCTCATTAAATTTCTCCTTCCTCTTCCACTGCTGTTGGAATGAATGTGCACTTAAGCACACACACACACACAAACACAAATAACTCATTTACTGTCAAGCAGCTTATTAAGATGGATTCACTCTTCCATTACTGCATTTGTTTTTAATCAAAAACTTGTGATGAACTGAATTGGAAACTCAGAAGCTCAGACTTTAATTGGCTGCAAGGCTCCACTCACTCACACACACACACACAGACACACACACCCCCCTCTCTTCGCCCAGTCTGTGCTCACTTATCTTTTCCAATGGAATAGTGGGGTATAGTTCAATTTGTACAATACACATGCAGATTGTTTAGTTCATATTAATATATATTTTTTGTTACTTGTCTGCTGTATTTGGGTCCTCTAACCATATAACATGTTGACATGTCCCTTCAAACGTTTATATTTGTCTCACTTATCCGATAAAGATCATGCCTAAGTAAAGAAAGGAATCATGAGACTAGTCATAATACTGGGCTTTGTGCGAGTTATTGGTGTGTGTGTGTGTATCATTGTGGGATGCAGACGGGCAAGTCACAGAAAGCCTTTTACAGTCTTACACCCCCCAGGACCAGACCTGGCCTCACCAACGTCATATTCACACACATGCATGCACACAGAGAGGTACACTTTTGTTCCCTTTAGTCTCAATACCAAAAACCCGTGTATTGCGTAATCTGAAACTCGGAAAACAAATAAACCAAACAAACTTGAAAATGTGAAAGTGGTGTTTTAAGAAGACCGAGTTCGATGGCTCCTGTCACCAGATGGTGACCAGTTGGTTTGATACAGCTGTGCCTCCGTGGTCTTCTATCGTTTCCCCATCCTGCTTTAAATATGCATGTAAAATTATTTAACTAAACTAATGTACCAACAGATGGGGGGGAAAAAGTAGGTTTAAATGACATGGATACTGCACAAAAATAGCATATATTTGATATTCTGATCCGATTCAGATATCGATTGCATCCTATAGTAGGAGGTGTGACTAGGCCCGTGAATCCCTACGCCTGTGCTGTGCTATAACTCCTCCTCACGGTCATAATCAATACGCAGAGATGACGACGGTCCTCTCGAGACTCGATGTAGAGCCAGTGGAAGGTCGTCGTTAAAGATGGCAGATGCATCGACTGCTGACATGGAATGAGTGTTTTTTTTTTTTTTTTTTTAATCTATTTTTTATTTATATGCTGACTGCCCCGCTCCTCTCTCAGGCACTTGAACTTATCGGTGCGACCCAGGCAGCTGCCGGCTTTGGTGCGGAGCGGCATCCCCGAGGCTCTCCGCGGGGAGGTGTGGCAGCTCCTGGCCGGCTGCCACAACAACGACCACCAGGTAGAAGAGTACCGCACTCTGATCACAAAGGTGAGCCCGCGCAAAACTATCGTCTTTGTTGAGAATGCTCCGTGCAAAATTAAAATCACCCGGACCCCCCAATGCTGGCGGTGGGGCCTTTCATCAAGAAGCGCTCATACTCATTTTATGATGCAACAGAAAACTTGTTGTTGTTGTTGTTGTGAGCTGTTTTTCTACTTGAATGTTTAAAGGTCCTTTTAACCGAGACCTATTTTATGTATTTAACCTATTATCGTTTGTTTGAGTATTTTGCTGTTGTTGACCCTAGCAACCGTTGTTTGGGAGCACACTCCAGGGGCCACTGATCTGTGCTTCAAACTTGTGATGCTGGCCACTGCTGCCCTGTAGTTCATCCCCGATGAGCGCTTCTAGTGTCATCCAAGAGAGAGATTTATGCCCTTTTTTTCTCTTTTTCTTCAAGAAGACATTTGTTGTGTGTTAATGGTTCTGTTAAAACTGATAATCTATGACGTCCTCCCATAACTCAAAAACGTGCATGTTCAAAAATGCCGCGGGCGTGTACGTTGGCATCGAACGGGAGTGACTCTGAGTGTTCTTGGCTGCAGCTCTGCACCGCTGTCCTTACGTAAAGGCGACGTCCCCAGGCACCGAGCTCAGGTGGCGACAAGATGTTGGTCTTGCCCTTTCCTTCCCTCTGCTCTGCTTTTCTCTCCCTCCTCAATTTTTGCTCCTCATCTTTGCATTTACATCGCTGCCATGTGATAATTGGACAAATGTGGATGTTGTGATTAATATATGTATGTGTATATTTTTTCAAAACTAGAGTAGAATTTTTTTATCCCAACGTAACAAAGCAGCCGTGCTGTCTTCCGTTGAACGTGAATAGAATTAATGTTCCCTCAAATAATTGATGACGACAACAAGGCTTCGCAACGCCACTTTATTCCTCATTGGTAGCCTTTGGACATGAAGTCGGGAAAGAAGTTCTTATCAGAAACACCAAAGCATTCCAGGTTTGTAGGCCGGCCAACAAACACACACAGCTTTGTCTGAGTCTAAAAGATGATTCGCTCGTTTTGTTTAGTCTCCTTTGAACACGACTGGGAGAGATGGCCAAGAGCTGTTTAAAGACAGAAAGATGGTCATTCTTTATTTACAACGAGGTTTGCACATGGTATGTTGCATCAATTTCAAAAAAAGAAAGAAAGTGAACAAATTGAACTAGATCTAAGACACGCCAGGTATTGCAAATAGAATAGTTCTAAAATGTCAAAGATTTTTTAAATGCATTGCATAATAGCACTCTGAATATCATATGGGCAAATTTACTTCACTTTGATATCTGTATTGTTAGCAATTAAAACTCATTTTCTCATATACAAATTCCTTCCCTCCTTTTTCAGCTGCTATTTTAAAATGTGTACACACAGCCGGTACATGTTCATGTACCGGCTCCTAATTTGTTTTGTGTGCGCTCCGAATTCAGCCTGTGCTTGTGTGTGTCTCTTTGTGCTGCATTGCACATTATGTCCTAGCTGGTGCCCTCTTTTGCGTCGCCCCCCCCCGATCTGAACTCTTCATCCACACAGCATAAGCTGTTTGCCAATCCTCATTCAGGCGATATTGGCGCGTACGTAACGTCATCCAGTTTAAAAAAAACGCTCCTTTTTTGACTGTTATAAATATAAAAAGCAGCAGACAAACGACTCTGTGTTTTAACACACACATCGATACCAGAAGTTCTAGAGAACTCGAGGTCTGTGTGCGTCAGTGAAACAAACGCAGCTCGAGCAGGTCAAGTGGTTAATCCGGGGAGTTGATTGAATGACTATCTCATGTGCCGATAACCTACTTCAGTTCAGGATCATGTTGTCGTGCCTCAGTGGCGCATCTGTAAATCTACTAAAGTATGTTTATATGTGTGGACGCATTTTACTATAACTTTCTATTAGAAGCCCAAACTGTTCACAGCATTTCTAGATAGTTCTATGGACTAACTATGTGGTTAATAGTGGCCTTGTCACTATTTTCTGTTACCGCATTATAATCCAAATCTGCTTAAACCACCTTTATCTCCACGAGAGAGGTGAAATGTTAGAAGCGTCCCCTACGGTGTCCGATTTGGGCATACACAGAGGGTATGTGTAGTGTAGACAAGATGTGATCAGGTAAACACAGGGCTGCTATCTACACTTGCTGTACCAGCCTGCTGTGGGGGTGCAAAAAACAAGCGCTCACATATACCTGTCTGACCCACACACTGACCCGTGCGCTTTTCTGTCTGTCTTTATAAGCGTTTGTATTTGCAGGTTCACGAGTCCCCCATAGACCCGTTTGTGCTTCTGTCAACTCGTGTGTGTGTGTGTGTGTGTGTGTGTGTGTGTGTGTGTGTGTGTACCCGCATCTCACTGTCTGCGTGGTTCTTCCGTCTCACTCTTCTCCTGCTGTGTCAGCTCGACTTTCTCTTCATGCGTGACTGTACGGCGCCTGTCTCTCTCTGTCCCATAGCTTTAGGTGTGTATCGCCGATCCAACTGAAATGGAAATTTTTTTTGATGTATTTTTCCCAAAGTTTAAAAACTTTTTTTTTATGGGATCAGCCTGAAATCTTATTTGTATCATATTATATAATGATTTTTGTCTGTGACGTGTAACAGCTGTCACCGCCCTGGATGTTTGTCACCATAGTGCCTACACAGAGAAACATTATCTACTCTCAGATAGTGTATTAACATTTCAATTAGGTCATTTCTCGGAAAGGACATAGTTTGACCTGTTTTCTTTAAAAAGAAAAAAAGAAAATATAGCAGCAGCCGGGGACATCGAGGCTCTGCCTTTTAGTGCGTCGAACATTGAAGTTCAGTCTTGAAATATGGTAAAGGACTGTACTTGAATAGCCTTTTTCTTGCGACCAGTCAGCGCTTTCACACTTCATGTCAACGTTCACACTCATTTACAGACTGATGACAGGAGCCACCACACACAGTGCAACCTTCCCATCAGTAACCAGCTTTCACACGCAGTAGTCCAGCTACAGGAGCAATGAGGGGGTTAAGTGTCTTGCCCAACGACACGCTGGTTAGCAGGACCTGGGATCGAACCGGCAGTCCTCTGATGGGGGGGTGTCCGTGCTCTCCACTCACCCACAGTTGGCCCTCTACGAAGTGTATTTCACCGAGGTTTCTGACTGCGAGTACTGGCGACAGGGGCGTGTCTTTCAGGGGCGGAGTTATTTGGGGTCTTAACTACGACATAAAAGATCTAAGATCTACCGTCTGGGGCCCCAGACGGTTGCCCACCTTCCTAAGGGTAACGTCTGCCCCTTGCGTAAGTAAAAGTAACGAACGACCCCAAGGTTTCTTGCCAAGCGTGTCTTTGAGGACCAAAAGGAAGCGCCGAGCCGAGTGCGAAGTTGTTCGTACGAGCAGTTTCTGAGCCGGCATGTTTTCAGCAGGCACATAATGATATAAAAACAGGACAGAATGATCGGGATTACGAGCCGCCAGCTGGGTGGTTCAAAAGAATAATTGGGGCTCGCCACGCTCTTCCCTCGTCCCCGTAACCCTTCCTTCTTCTCGCCGATTGGTTGTTGGATTCTTGTTTCTCTTCCTCCCATCACGCTTTGATGTGTGCGGTGTTATCTTTTAAGTCCCTCCCTCCATCATTTCTTCCTCCTCCTCCTCTTCTTCTTCTGACCCTTCATCGTTCTGTCGTCTATTTTTAGCTACTCGTGTGTCGGGCAGAGAAGGTGCGTGAAAGCACGGGAGTGAGTCTGGCCTGGGGAGGGGGGGGTGAGGGGGGAGAAAGGTAGGCAGGCGTGTGTTTGTGGCTCCCATCACGCTACACCAAATTGCCCTGCACGAGGCACACTGTGCGGTCTTCAGAAACCCATTAGTTAATATGCTGATGGTTATTACTGCCCACTGAAGTCTCTAATTTTAGTTTAGGATTCCGAGTAATTAAATAAAAAAAACTAAACATAAGCAATGGGGCAATTTATTGTAGCACGGGTTCAGTTGGCTCTGCGCAGAGGGGCTGGGGGAGACTTTGCGAGGGATAACTTGATTAGCAAAATTGAAGGCGATATAGTTCAACTGAGTCTTTTAGAGGATGTTGCCGCCGGGGAGATTAAGAGATACCTGGAAAGGTCGTGCTACCTGGGGAAAAGATGACCGTGGAAAAGCACCTCTCGTGCTGAGTGGAGGCACAGCATCTGCTGAGGCATTAAAAATCAGAATGCTGAGGGCTTCCCAAGCAAAGCGACGCACAATCACACACAAACATCGTATGAGAACACAACGTGAAGTGAACTAGAATTTTACAATGTTTGGATCCTACTAGTACTGCTCACATAGCCAGTAGTACTTTGGCTCTGTTGCAACCAGTAGGTACTTAAAAAAAAAAAAAAGTATAATGCTTTTGTGAGATGTTGTTGCAACTCTCCCCTTCTTTCCCTCTCGTGTATCTCGCTCTTTCAGACACACATGCACACATGGAGTTAAGCAGGAAACGACTACAACTATCTTGAATATCTGAAAAAAAAAACTTGTGGGGGGAAAGCAGGCAATTTGTGTAATGCTAGATTACGTAAGTACCATTGTTATAGGTTGACATTGTAAAAGGCACCAGTACGCAGTACTGTGGGTGAGCATGAGCTCACTTTTGAGTGCGACGTTGGCTTATTTAAGGCATATTGCAGGGAAATAGTGTTCAAGTATTAATAATGTAACCTCTTTTCATTGTCGAAGTTTTGGTTATTCAACTGTAATCAGACTAATGCACTTTGGCGATAGCACATTTATATTGCCCATCATTTTATCTCATTTTTATTGGTTTCTTTTTAAAGAGGCTCTTTCTGCTTGATAACAGTTCTATGGATATATTTTAAAGCGATGAATATCTCAGAAATTGATTATTTTTGCATCTCTAACTTTTTACATTTCATCTCTTAACTTGCATAACCATTGAAAACCAACTTTCAACATCTACTTCACTTGCAGTTTGCACCTATGAGGCAGACCCAGTTACTAATTGCATAATTACTTGATGCGTTAGTGAATCAGCTGGTAATTACACACAGGCTATGTGCGCAAATTGAATTGCTTGCGCCGTGCTTTCATGTGTGTTTTATGTTGCTGCTGTTTGTTTAGAAAAATAAAAATCACTCAATTAGTTGTGACTCACATGTAGATGTGTATTTAACACATTGTTTAATTCAGTGTTACAGCGTTCGAAATACATCGAGCCAGTGAAAATGCATTTATGTCTTCCTTAACAAATAAGGAGACAAAATGTGACACATTCAACGTAATGGATACTTTTTTTTTTCTAAAGAAATGAATGTCTGTCTTTTAAATAACAGTACTTGTAACAGCCTCTCTGTGGGCTCAAGGAGTCAACATCACATGACACACATGGCTTTAGGGGAGCCTCTGTCTCATACTGTTTGGCCTTGGTTTGCAATCCGATTAATGATGGATAGTTCCCGTAAACTGCACCCAGCTGTGTCTTTTTGTTGTCTTGGTGAAAGCAAATAAAGACAATATCCATTCGTAAAGCTTTAAATGCTCTGATCTTTGGGGAATAAGGTGAGAGACTGCAGAGATTTTGACAGCCAGGAGAGCGCTGAACATTTAATGTTACTAATTTGAACAGTGTGAGTATTTGAATCTGGGGTGATTATGAGAAACACTGCCCTATAAATCCAAAGATTTATAGGGAAAGTAAAATACCCAGGGAGGGGTGCGAGGGTGGGGGAAGGAGGTTGCCTTGTGTCCTTACAGTTTATCATTGGTTGAAGCCCCAGGGAAGGGGGAGGAGCCTCAGTGCCACTGTTTCTGTAGAGAGGCAGAGAGTGAGTGAGAGAGAGAGAGAGAGAGACAGCGAGAGCGAAGAGGAGGATAAATGAACACAGGGGCGGGGAGGAGGAGGGGTGGGGGGGGTTCTCCCAGCATCGGTATGCCTGCCTACCTCCTTTCTAGTCCAGACATAGTTGCTGCTCCTCTGGATAGAAACAACAGCTGAGGTGTGATTCTAAACATCAGTCGCCCTGCGCAGCGCCTTCATCCCCTCGGCTCACGGCAGCCTGCTGCGATCTCACTGTGGAGGACGGGAAGACAAGACGAGAAGCACGTAGAGCCTGTGGAAAGAGGCGACAAACGAGTGGAAGAAGAAGCAGAAGCGAGCGGTCTGAAAAAAGAGGAGATATTCCACTTGATGTCTCCTTCCCGCAATTCACGTACGCGGCAGGTTACAACGGTAACCGTGATGTCGGTTTACTGGAAGCTGTGACTCTGGACTACAGACGGGTAAGAGAGGGCTTCAATCTGTGCTTTCTGCAGCTGCAGCAGATGTTGAAGACCTCTTTGACTTTATAGGGAGTGGAGGCATTTCAGGCATAGATTGCACTGGAATTCCTTTAAACAAAGTCACATTTTACTCCGGGTTTTTTCTCCCTTCCCTTCTGTGCCTGCAGCTGGGAGGTTTGCTGAACCGGAAAGAGGAGAAGGAATACGCATTTTTGTTTTGTGCGTTTTTTCTGGGTTTTTTTCCTCAGTTTTGTATATTCGTGTAAAAGTACCCCCCCGCCGCCCCCTACCCCGAAGACTTCTCACCTTTCCCTGTCCTTTCCGTCGCTCCTGCATTTGAAATGGCAGATGGCGACAGGCTCGTCGGCGAACCGCAGCGCGGAGCTTTTTGTTTGGACTGAAACCACGCTGCTCTGAGAACCAGCCGTTCACTAGTGGACGCCATCGTACCCTCTAGTGCCCCCACCCGAGAGAGGCTCTTATTCCTGTCCGAGATGATGAATTCCTCCCTGGATCCACTGAACCAGAGCTCTGCTGACCCGTCAAACACGTCTTCTCCTTTCTGCCTACTTGCCATAAGCTACTCCCAGGTTTTCACCACCTGCCTTCTGGAAGTCTCCATCATATGTCTCCTCGCTGTCCTCATTATTTCTGGCAACCTGGTGGTGATCTTTGTGTTTCACTGCGCCCCTTTGCTCAGCCAGCACACCACCAGTGCGTTCATCCAGACCATGGCGTACGCCGATCTGCTGGTGGGGGTCAGCTGCCTGTTCCCCTCGCTGTCCCTCCTCCACCGCCTCCAGGGGCTCGACCCCAGGCTCACCTGCCAGGTGTTCGGCTACATGGTGTCCGTTCTGAAATCCGTTTCCATGGTGTCGCTGGCGTGCGTGAGCGTCGACCGCTACGTCGCCATCACGCGCCCGCTGACCTACGCCTCCCTGGTGACGCCGTGTCGAGTGCGGTGCTGCATCGCCCTGATCTGGTTGTACTCGGCGCTGGTGTTCCTGCCGTCTTTTCTCGGGTGGGGGAAGCCCGGTTACCACGGGGACGTGGTGGAGTGGTGCGCGGTGGAGTGGCGGACCTCCCCGGCCTTCACCACCTTCATAGTGATGCTGCTGTACGCGCCGGCCGCCCTCACGATCTGCTTCACCTACGTCAACATCTTCAAGATCTGCCGGCAGCACAACCGGGAGATCAGCGAGCGCCACGCGCGCTACCGGCCCCAACAGTCGCAGGGCCCGGGGTCGGCGGCGGATCAGGGGCGGTCGTCCCTCTTGGCGCAGACGGCAAAATCCCAGCCGCAGTATCAGCAGCCCACATCGACGTACCCGGACAAGCGATACGCCATGGTGCTGTTTCGCATCACGAGCGTGTTCTACATCCTGTGGTTGCCCTACATCCTCTACTTTCTGTTGGAGAGCGCCGGGATCTACCACCACCCTGCCGCCTCATTCCTAACCACGTGGCTGGCCATCAGCAACAGCTTCTGCAACTGCCTCATCTACAGCCTCTCCAACTCCGCCTTCAGGAAGGGCCTCAAACGCCTCTGCTCCTTCTGTCTGCAGCGCGGCGGCGGCGGGGTTCGGAGCACCAAAAAGGCTTTCGTTGGTTCGGTTGAGAGAGGATGTGGAGGACAGGAGTATGGATACGGTGGTGGGGAAATAGGAATTGGCACGACGTGTCACGTGTAGAGTCCACAGGGAGGAGCGCACTTGTGCCAAATTGGCATTTGAACCGGTTAAAAGACGCCTGGTTTGACGGCTGTAACACGTGTCCTCTTTTTAAGCATCGGCGTGCCGCAAAGAGCTGGATTAAGGTGTGAATTTGCCGCCACCGTCTCTGGTGCATTCGGAGGTTACACAGCGTCCTCTGTGCGCGCGATGGGGCTGGCAAAGACGGAGAAAAGGAGTCGAGAGCAAAGCCATGAAAGGTTTTTTTTTTAAACCGAAGCAGAGTTTCTCGTTGAAAAGAAGGAGAGAAAAACTTTATGAGGTTGAACATTTGCATCTTTTAGGTTTCCTTAAATAGGATATCAATCCGTAATTTATTTTGCAAAAAACACGAAGTTGTTGTTGAACAATGCAGCCCTTGTTGCTAGTTATTCAGGACAATTACAAACAGAACTGAAGTTGACTTGGTTTAGTAATGTGATGCTGAGGTGAACCGATCATGTCCTCGCCCTCTGTGTCTAAATACTTAAAGCGATGCTGCAGTTTGTTTGTGCATTTGTTTGGCTTATTGACTGAGCTTAGTCTGTTAAAAAGAAAACAATCCTGTTCTATGTCTTTTTGATGTTTGCATTGACTGAACTGATTTTGGTTTGTCGACATGAGACGTCGGTTCACTGACATTTGCATTCAGGCTATTGTCATTGTTTTCTGATTGAAGGTGTGTATTTAAGTTTAGGGTTCTCACCTTGAGCATGCTGTCGGGTATATAATATGAGATGCTGCTCATCTTGGTTGTAACATAAAAAAAAAGATAACTTTAGTTTCTATCTTTCTTCAAATCTGTTTCATTGCACTTCTGTTGTTTTTATGACCAAACACAAGTAGTTTCATAAAGAAAGTTAAGAAACATGTATATCAACTTATTATACAATTATTGTTGGTACATTTTTTTTTTTTTTTTTCAAGGCTTTGATCAAAGAAAAGCGTTGCGCTCATAGAAGAATGACCCTCGAACTGTGATCCTGACTAGTCTTAGGAATTTGCTTAGAGAATAATCTAATGATTAGTCTTTGATATAAATGTGGGGATTTCATAATTCCAGATTCTCGCAAATAATTACTGTGTTACAAACCTTGGTGTACTTTATTTATTTGTATTCCAATTAACTTCCACAATGGGGTTGTTTTTCGTGCTGGGGTCAACAAAAAACAACTAAACTGTTTTCAGTTAACTAAAACAAGAAAAGTGTTCCACGAGATACGTGAAGCAGCTCTGCATACGAAACAACAACAATAATAGTGCAATGGATATAAACAAAATAGTCATTAATACACAAAGAAAAATGATAATAATAATAATAAAAGCTATCAAAAGGATTCTAAAAACAAACCATAATGACTTCTGCACAAGAGTGATCAATTATTTCCTTTTTGAAAGGTCTGTCCGATGTGGGTAGCAAATCCCAAGAAGAACAAACACTATTTCCTTCTTGACGATGGACTAGATTTCTATCTGTCCTCCACAGCGACCCATTAAAAACCAATCACGCGACTCACACATTAGCACATAAAGAACATTGAAAATCTAATGTTCCTCAGCTGCACTTAACCAAATGACTGGGCAGTCCTCCAGGTGTATTGTGCTGTGACTGAATTGTTGTCCCTGCATTCCTGGAGGTGTGCGTGTGCGTGTGCAAATGCACAAACACAGGTATATCTCATGTTAACAGAGCAGACCCACATCGTCCATCCGTCCCCGAGAGCAGTTTTGGGGGATTCTTTTCATGTAAAACACATTTAGCAGATCAGCTGATATTAATCAAATACTGATAATATTATCACTACTTTCAACCACGGACCCTTGTGTCACTTTATCTAAATGCAGATATGATCACTTTAGATGTTTTAGCTAATTTACCAAAGAAAGTAAAATTCTTGGACATTCTAAAAATAAAATGCCAATGGGTTTTACAAAAGCTTTGTGTAGGTCATCACTGCGTTGTCACAGCAATGCCTTGTGTGCATGGTTTCGACTGTTATATAGTGATATTTTGTTGCCTTGATGCACAAATTAACATGAATTCTTGGGAAAAGTGTTTTTCCTTACATTTCCGCAGGGCTTAATTTGTAGACTCCTGACTGTTTTTAGAGGGAAGGGCACGGACTGTTGATATGTGCGTCAGCCCGCCTCCATTCCCCACTCACTAATGACTACATGAGTCCATGTGTCCGCAGTTAGCAAATGTCACCGTTAATTCAGCTACACTTTAAAAAAACCCCCTCAATTTTCAATAATAGTTCCTCTCTTCTGTAAAACACATGACTCAATACAGTTATGTCTTGTCTTCTAATTTATTTGATCTCGTGTGTGTGTGTGTGTGTGTGCGCTGAATTTAACGGTGCTCTGGCGTCGGTGCTAACAGATTCTCATCGCTTCGTTAGCCGCGAGTCACTTCCCTCGAGATGAGGTACAATGGTGGTAGATTCACAAGCGCATCTAGTTATCCGTGAAGCGTGGCCAAGTACTGTTACTCTGCCTACTGTGTGAAGAAATAATCATGTGCAGAAACAGCGTATCGAATGTTGAAAGTTATATTTTTGTAAAATGACCTCCTTTCTGTCTATTTACTTGTGAAAAGTTGTGACCTCTGATTTTAGACTTGAGCAGCATGCTCACCTCTTAAGATGAATCTCTAGGGCGATGCGTTTTATTCCTTGTTCTGCTGTCTTTTGCGATTGGTTGAAGGTAGATAACGTGGAGGTTGAGGGAAGAGGAAAGCTGTTATGAGGGGATGAACCCGGTGGTGGTGATTGTGTGGAGGTGCAGCGACATGTTGGTTAGAAAGAACATCTGTAGGTAAAAAGCCGTCTGACAGGAGAGAGGAACAAGACTGCTGACGGGGCACAAAAATGAGTCGGTTTGACTTAAAAACTGGCAGGCCTGTGCAGATGTGGTTGTACAGGTATGAAAATAAAAACACGCTTAACAATGGGTCCAAAGGACAAACATTACACTGGTTCCTAGCTTTCTTATCTTAAGGCTTTTTGTGTGTTTCCAGAGTCCTTCTATTATGCACATGTCAAGATGAAATAAATCATTTTAAGCCTTTTACAAATTATCAAGAAAAATTAGTCCACTGCTGCTTCATTATCATCATCATCCTCTCATCGTATGTTGTTAGCCCACGCGGCACTAGTTGCGTCGCCAATTTTCAGAACCGAGCCTATGAGCCTTGTGAACAAGCGCGCCTCTATGTAGCATACTGTAAATGTGGACCAAAGTGAACATGAAGTTTGTAGTAACTGTATTTGACACAGCAGCGATGATTGGGGCCTTATGTGAAACGACCTGTAACATTCAATGGTTATCTTGAACATACTGTTTTCTAAATACTGGTTGGCTGTTCTCGGAGTCCATCGGACCCTGAATGGGCAGCACAGCCTCGTTCTTGTTGTAAAATGTAACGGTATTTTTCATCAGATTTTCTTGGTAATGTTATCTCGTAAGGCTTATGACGCAGCTCTTCCCAGGAACAGATTATCATCACATTAAAACAAGACCGCTGTTGCAAATCGTTGGTGTGAAAACATCCGCATGGGACTTTTGTCACTGAAAGATGGCTCAGTCAACAAAAGGGCATCTTGAGAAAATAAGCCACTGTACACATACATCTGTTACTGTATTGATCATGACAAACTGTCATATTTTATACGTCAGGGGTGTTGACTTTGTGATTTAGCTGTTTGTAAGCGGTATGCATTGATAGATGGAGAATGTGACGCAAGAGGCCAAATATGTCATGAAAGAGAGTCCCTGTGAATCTTTCAAATGTTTTCACGTCATCACGTGATGCTGTGTCGGGTTAAAAGCCCATGTGGTATTACATCATGTACATGTTGTGGATGTGTACTGCGCAAATAAACGTGATGCTATCTCAATGTATTCAAACTCCTCTGTGCTAATTGCCCTGCTAACAACACGATGCCTTTCATCCGCCCTCCTGCAGGGGGAATGTCTAAGTATTCTGCGCTAAAGTATCTTTCCGTCTTGTCATCTCTGTCCTCGTCGGATACATGATTTGCCTGCTCTACTTGTGCTGAAGCTGCTTACCGTTGCACAAATGGCAAAAAGAAAAAAGTAGAGCATGATGAGACGGGCGATTAAGATTTAATGAGGGACGACACGAAGGTGAGGAAACAAAAAGCTTGGATGTGCTCTGTCCATTACCCGTTATTGTAAAGAAAACCAGTTAAGAAATCACAGATTTGAACTATTATTTTCTTTGTTAGTAAAGAAAGCACAAACACAATTATAGACGATGGAAGCCTCTGTCAAGGCTCTAGTAATTATTTATAAAGCATTAAAGTCCACTGTCACATTCACTATTTCCCCTCGTGAAGTCAATCTAAATCTAGTAAAATATTCAAAGCGTAGCACTTATGTTTGTTGTTGTTTGAGCAGCGAGGTTTGTATGAAGCTTGATAAGTATCACCCCGCGTTCCCTCGGCATCTCAGCGGAGAAAGAATAACAGAATGACATGTCAGCTATTGTGTTGAGTCAGAGAAAATCAGGAACATAAACAATGGAAGGCTAGTTGCTCAGCCTTCCCACGGAAGCCCTACTCCGGTACTTTATTCCTAGCTGTAGACACACACGCACACACACACACACACACACACACTGGGACTCTGCCCCCAGTGAGTGGTTTTCATTATATGTTCATAGGAAGAAAATATGTTCTCCTCAACTTCCATTCAGTTGTAAGATGCTCTGTGATTTTATACCAACTTTACATGAATTGTTGCCAGCATCTTTAATGCTCCTCAATGTGCACATTCCATCTGTTTAATCGCTACGCTCTCAAAGCTCTTTGTAAAGCAGCCCAACCCTGTGCAGATTATGATCATAGACGATATGCTCAAGTATGATTAGAAACCAGAGCACTATTTATGTCACAACCTTTTCACCGTCTTCGTTGTACGTTTCCTCAGAGATGCGCTATCCTTAGCGCCCTCGTTCCCTCCCGCGTCGCCTCCGTTAATTGCTTGAACTTGCTCTCACACTCTGTGCTCCGCCATGAGACACTGGATATGTTTTCTGTCTCCTCTCACGCTACCCTCATTCCAATCCTCGCTTTAACCGAATAGACGGACGGACGGACAGAAAGGAAGCTAATTGGCCATTAAGTCCGAGGTCTTTGTACGTGCTCTCAGCACTTGAGATAAGTTCAGGCTAAGTGGTGCTTGTTTCAACAAGGATCCTTATCGCTCACTGAGAAACTGCGGCACAGTGAAACGCGCCCTTCACACTGGCAGCATAAGCTCCCCCCCCCCCCCCCGTGGTTTAAAATACTTCAATACCATTTTCAAGATTTCCGTGTTCACTTTTACAGTTGAGATACGGTGGCTATTTATGGGAGGCCTGTTTTTGGACTCTGATCCCCATTACCTCACTGTGCTCTAGTATCCTTTTCTCCCTGCAAATCTTTTTTGGGGGGGTTGACTTTCCTCCTCCTTGGAAGCTGGTAACGCTCGTAGGAAAGAGAGGCAAGGACATGAGGGGCACATTAAGAGAGGGAACAAAAGGTATAATTAGCTAAGAGGGGAGGTTTGAAGAAAAATGTCAAACTTGAACTCTTTGATTTAATTTAAGGGATCTTCTTTGGACATGGTTTTGTACAATGGGTTTCTTTGGTGGGATTTTAAGGCCCTGGAGGAGTTGATGGTAAACCTTCAAAAATGCCAAAGAGCAAGGCACACAGGATGCGGGAAAAACTCAACTAGCATCCCTTTCTAACAACCCGATGTGTAGTGGGAGCAGTTCCTAAATGAACCAATGGAGTGTGACATTAATTTCACATGAACTCGGTGAGGCATTATTGTTGCTCACTGCTGACAAGTGGAAACCTTCCTTTGCTCTCGCTGAACGTCTCGTTGTTCACTGATGGTATGAAAGCGCGGTCGCAGCACCAGGCTACACAAGGAATGCCACAACGCATTTCGGTTCAATGTTACACGAATGTCCCGTCTTTGTATTACATCACACGACACGCAGTGTCGACTTCAGAGCCACCGCCAAGATATATTCAAATGTGTGTGTTGTCTTGTCAAGTAACGGCTGGGAGTGAGATTTCTTATTTAGAGGCTTTTTGTTACAAATACATAAGAGGCGTCGATAATGAAATGAGGGCCGATTTATCCTTGCGAGTAGAGTAGTTACGTGTGTGTGTGTGTTCTGCCTTGTGACCTGACATCGGAGCGGTGTGATGTCACATTATGTTTCACCCGGCTCCTCTGTGTGCTGTATGCAGTATCCACTCAGACCAAATAAGATCACACCAGAACAACACTCACAACATTAGTAATAGTGCTGGTAGCAGCTTTTTTCTTCTTCTGTTGTATCCGTGTTCACACACAGCAGCGCGCTTCTCCTCGGTCTCGGTTCTAGTCATCTATCTGTCCACGTTGCTCTTCAAACCAAAAGCCCGGATAATTGTGCCGAAGAAGATCCGATGAAAGCCGGACGGCCTCTTATCCACCCGCTGTTGTGCAGAACAGAATCTGAGTGTTCATTGTTTTATCATCTGACCTCCTTGCCTGAAGTAGGACAATGTACCCGAGACATTCTCAGCACTGATTGCATATCGTACGTCTTTGGTCATATTTTCTTCAACGCTATTTTGTCGCTGTTATTCAAAACTCTTATTACTGTCTATTATTTGAGCTTATAATTACTTACTTTTAGTTAACTGCAAAAATAACTCAAACTGTCAGAAAAAGACACACACAATGAAGATAGGCGGAGAGATGCACAGTTCGTACTGCAGAAAAGAACACTCAGTGCTGCCAGTAATTCATCCTGACCTATACTGTAAATCTCAGCCATGTGTTGCCACCACATGACCGCTGCTGCTGGTTGTCTAATAAAACTGCTTTGGAATGAATGCATCTCTCTTTCACCATTTTCACTTTCTTTCACTCACTCTGACCGTTTTGTTCCCCCCCCCCCAACAACGCCTGTTCCTTATTAGGAGTCCCCTCAAGACAGTGCCATTACCAGGGACATTAACAGGACATTCCCGGCTCATGACTACTTCAAAGACACCGGAGGAGACGGACAGGACTCCCTGTACAAGATCTGCAAGGTGGGGCTTCCACCCATGCAAGAGGGTGTTTCCTTTTAAAAGGCGAGGGAGGGCATTTTGCTGTCAGCCTAGAATGCAAAAGAATACTGTGGTGTCCTCTGATCCACATGCAGCACGTCTTATTTAGGCCGTTGCGTTGCAACATTTATAGGGGAATATTTTGAGGAATAGGCATGAAGTTTAAATTTAAACACAAATACATTTCAAAATATGGCTGTAAGATATTTTGTAAGCCACATTCAGTCAATTCCTACAACCCATTGAAGTGAAGAACTGATTAATTAATATACCTCTACAACTTCTTTTTCAATTTATTATAAAGATATACATTGTGAGGACTAAATGGTGTTCTTTTTGTTAGCCGTGAGGTTAATTGCCGGAGCCAATTACGGCATCCTGCATGTGAAAGAGAAGCCAATGTCCCCCCGTGTTCCACAGCACAATCATGGTGTAAATGACTTGCTTTACTAATAGCTCACGTTTTCACAGCAGTAGAGTAGAGAAAGTTGTCCCCGCTACAGCAAAGTGCTCATTAATCAACAGTTGCTCGTTTTTTCTGGGTGGTTCAGCAGGTTCAGTCGATGCCTGTGAAGAAATACAGCACAAGGTCATAATCGAACACACACACACGCACACAGGAAGCGCTGACATAATCACTCGTACTGCACAGCTGACTTAGATATACTGGCGTGACGGGGAAGTGTCTCTGCTTTCTTTCTCATGAAAATGAACACATGCATATAGAGCTAAGACACACACACATTTAGACTTTTTACTTCCGTAATCCAGCATAAACGGTTCGGCTGTAGTTCCTCCACTGCTTTCATTCATTATGTATAACTCAGGTGAGGGCATCAATCTCTTTACCAGACAAGCGCCTCCTCAGGTGTGTTTGAATAATTCAGCTTGCCCTCCCTCCCCGTGTGTGTGGATTGATCCACACTTTGTGTGTTTGACTTGCACTCATTATTTGTGTGTGTGTAGCTCAGTGGGCCACTACGGACACTTTTCCCTACTCGGTCCCAGGATCCCTCCCTTTATACTCACACGATACAAAGTTTAGTTTTTACGGACGCTGATCTCGTCTTAGGCTGGTTAGCTCATCGCTAAGGGAGTACTTTTTGGCCTCTGCTCTTCTCTTTCACAATACATTTCATCATTTGATTTTTGTGTTGAATTATGATACTGTTGAAAAAACGGGTTTGGATCAGCAACCGTAAATCACTGTGAAATGTATCTGCCAACTGCGTGCCTTTGTCCTCTCCTTCAGGCCTACTCCGTTTACGATGAGGAGATCGGCTACTGCCAGGGACAGTCCTTCTTGGCTGCTGTGCTGCTGCTGCACGTGAGTTCACCTGATCACAGTTCACCTGCGCGTTGATCCTTTTGTTATCCCGCTGTGCCGGAGGATTTCATTTGGTGTTTTGTGACTGTCTCAGAGACTGTAGTCTCTAGTATAATCAGAGTAGAGCGCGATGTTCACGATGTACTGTTACCGCACCAAAGCAGTTTGAGGTGATATCTGTTGGTCACTGACATTATTATTTGTAATCAATAACATAATATGTTCTTGTTCATTCGCCAAGCTGGAGTGGTTTCCCATTTAGAACTCCTCTAATTCAGGGACATGTCAACACTGCTGCCTGGTGGACACACAATGCCATATATTTTTAGATGGATAAAATGAAAAAGGGTTATTCTATCACGTTCAGCTAGTGCTCTATGCAAAAAGCTGTGAAGTAAAAGCGTTGTCATACGAACCTCCCCTGAAACCTGGGGAGGTACTGATGCTTCTCTGGTGCTCCTCAGATGCCAGAGGAACAAGCTTTCAGCGTGCTGGTCAAGATCATGTTTGATTACGGGCTCAGGGACCTCTTCAAGCAGAACTTTGAAGATCTGCATTGCAAGTTCTTCCAGCTCGAGAGGCTCATGCAGGTATGCGTGTTTCATCTGCAGATCTGTGTTTTTTTCCTGAATGGTCACATGATCTGCGCGCAATCTGGTTGAAAAAACCTGTTAGTTTGTCTTCAATACGCCTATTAATGTAACTTCTCTCCTTGTTCCTTCCCCCTCATCCTTCCTTCTCCCTGTGTGTCTCATTGACTTTGTGTCCCTTAAACAGGAATATATACCAGACCTGTACAACCATTTCCTGAACGTGGGTTTGGAGGCTCACATGTATGCCTCTCAGTGGTTCCTCACGCTCTTCACAGCCAAGTTCCCTCTGTACATGGTCTTCCATATCATCGACCTGCTGCTGTGTGAGGTTGGTAATGATACATCACACAGGCCTGCTGCAACCCACACCAGCTGTGTCAAATATCAACAAATGCACATTTTTATTTCCACCATGGATCTTTGCCATTTACGTACACACATTCTCCAACTGCTGTGTTTTAAGGAATTCTTTGCTATGGCACTCTAAGCTGAGCTTCCCGCAGTTGATTTAGAGGTTTTTCAAATGCATGCCCTGAAAGCCCAAAACGAGTTGAAAAAAATGATGAGGTTCAAAGGGAAGTTAGGAACAATTGGACCCTTTTCCAAAAGCTGAAGAAGAAGTGTATCCACTTGAAAGCCTGTGAGAGCAAAGGGAAAATCATTTGTTGTGGGCCGAGGGAAAAAAAGGTCTGCGTCCCCGAGTGTTTTTAATCACCTGAATGATGCTGGGAACCTTGATGCCGTAATGATGCCTCACAGCAGCAGGAACTGGGAGACTATTCAAGATCTGGGATATGATAAACAGACGCGATTACAGAGAGAAAAAGCTGCTTCAAATCACACACAACGTCAGAGGAGGGCGGGGGGGGGTTGACCTTTCAGCGCGGCAAAACAACGCAAGTGTCTGCAAAGTCCTGAACTTCTGTGGAGGGTTTTTGACTTAATAATAGAAAGAAATCTGCAACACTAATGTAGTATTATTAGTACTTTCTCTCTCATTTCAACAAAGAATTTTCAAAGATGTGTCTTCATTTTCAGGGCATCAGTGTGATCTTCAATGTGGCGTTGGCGTTGCTTAAGGTGAAGTAGTCCACACAATGAATGCGCACACAATCAACACCACTAGCAGACACGGAGCAGATACAGACACAGCAGGTAGCTGATACCATCTGACATTGGAAAGTATTTAAACATCTGCACCTGTAAAAAGATGCAGATACACGTGTAGTACATCTATAACCGATATACTAATATATGTAAACAGTGTTACTTTTGACTGTAAAACCACAATATGGAAATTAATTAAATCAAATGTAAATGCGTTTGTTTGTGACTTCTATCTATGTTATGTGTATTTCTACACCTGAACTAGTTTATCACAAACCCTTTTTTGTGTCGTGAATGGTTCAGAATGTTCATTGAGGGTTGCGCTGCTTCATTTGCCAACCAAAGAGGCTGTTCCAGGTTGTGTGAATTGGTTTCCTCCTTTTCCTCAGACGTCGAAGGACGATCTGATCAACACAGACTTCGAGGGTGCACTCAAATTCTTTCGTGTCCCGGTTCCGAAGAGGTACCGATCCGAGGAGAACGCAAAGAAGCTGATGGAGCTGGCTTGTAGTATTAAGGTGAGTTTGGAGTAAGAAAGAGTAGAATAGTTCCCTATTAACAATAGTTGTTGCATTACACATACAAACCTCTGAGTCTTAATGCATTCAGTAAAAGAATATATGCGGCCATCTTATGTGGTAAAGCTAATCGACCTAAAACAGTAATTTGTTTGGAATACTTTTAAACTTTAGCCGTGCTACTTACATACCAGTAGGGGCCACTATTGAACTATCAAGTTTAACAGACGCAATGAGTACAGACCCCAACACACCTCTCTGTCCTGCATGTACACACACACACACACACACACACACACACACACACACACACACACACACACACACACACACAGATTTCTACAGACTGGCCTAATTCAGAGCTCCTGACTATGAAGGTAACTTTGGTGTTCGTTCTTGAAGACGTTTAAGACTTTGTTAAAGACTAAAATATTTTTTTGTGTTCCATCTGATAACCGTCCTTAGTTGCGCTTTCGTTTCTTAAGCGATGCTCGTTTTTGAATGAAATGGCTGCATGTAGTTACATAAGTGCAAAGTGACCTACAAAGTTATTTCCAGCACATTATGTGGCCAAAGAAAACAATATCACAAAACCGTTGGGCCAAGAGAAGGACAATGGTGGTGCTGTGAATGTTTTACATTGTTTTAACAGGTTTCAAAGTTTGGATTATTATCGTTGAATGACCTTTTAGACCATTAGATATATCCATGTACGCCTTGAGGCTGAAAATCCCACCCTGATGGGGACCTCTATTGGTTACACAGAGTTGTTAACATACTTTATTTATGTACAAGAGGTTGAGGTCAAACACCCCGTTGGTTACTTCTTCCCTTCACCCTCACGGTAGAATAAGCACAAAACTGTAAAAGCACAATCAAATCTAAAGTGCTCTTAACTCAAGGAGTGTAACAAATGGTAAGGTGATGGAATCAATGAGTTTAGTTTAAGTTCTTTACTTTGTCATTTTAGTCAGAGGTCATACTTATTTGAATAATTACGACGTGAATATGCCCCACACACAGTTGGAAACTACAGTCGGGTCAGAAAATGTATTCAGCAGACTCTCGGGGTCAAACTGGGGTCATTAGTGTTGTCTCTGTGTTTAGTCGTTACACCTACTTCCTCCTCTTGTCTGCCAACCTTCTGACTTCTGATATGAAAGTCGTCATTGCGTGCAGTTTGCTTGTTACGGTGTGTTTTTGTGTCTCCATGTCTACGTTATCGCTCCTTTACCTTCTACATATGAGCGTGCAGGCTGTTACAGCACTTAAGGACGAAGAAAGCTTGTAAAAGTTTGAAGAAAAATAATGTGACATGAATGAGTTCACTCGTGCGCCTGGATGACCTTTTGAACACGCCAGCAGCAGCAGCATCATAGTGGCGGGCAGGAGTTGGATCACTTGATATGCTTTTTGTATAATACGGAACCTGAGAGAGAAAGAAAGAAGCGGGCGTGAATGCACTGCCAAGCGTTGCCTTGATGTTGCAGCTGTAACAAAAAGCTTTACAATCGCCACCTTGTTGCTCGTGTGGCAGTGGTCTCTTTTGAAAAGAGCCCGTTGGAAGGCAGCAGCTGCGCAGTGAAAGGACCGCTGATGAGTCGGCGCGCGTGCGGCAAACTGCATCTTTCGGCATGAATGTGTCCCAATATAGCGGCTTGTCACGCTGTGATAACGGTAGCAAAATTAATCTGTTTCTTATCAATCCCGTGTGCTTGTTTACTAAAAGTGGACGCTGAATAAATAATTTTAGTGCGCAAGGAAATTACCAACGGGCTGGTTTATTTTTCATCGTATAAAAACTGCATGTATTACTATTGTCAGTGATGCAGTTGATGAAACATAGTTTCTTTCTGCTCTCGCTGCCCAACAGATCAGCCAGAAAAAGTTGAAGAAATTTGAGAAGGAGTACCACACCTTGCGGGAGCAACAGGAGCAACAAGAGGCCCCCATCGAGAGATATGAGGTAGTCATAAGCACAATTCACCTGTGTACATAATAACATGACAAGGGAAATGGTGTTGGTAGTGCATGTTGTAACTACATAGTGTTAATACCACCACTCTATTCTCACTCTGTGTTTTCATTTAACAGAATGCATATAAATATCTATTTATTTTACGGTAGACAGTCCTTGTTTAGGAGAGAAAGGATACGTGGCACCAAAAAGGCCATTAATTGTAGATTGTTAGACGTCCTCTCGAGGGCGGCAGGGTGGTTGTATCCAGTAACAAATCATCCGTTACAGCTTTGTTTGCTCTTAAAAAACTGCTTCCAACAAACCGTATATCAACACCATATTCTTGTATCTCCATTCATACCACTCAGCAATGAATCTACAACTTCAAACCGCTGACCCACAAGATCACATTAATTGAAATCATTTAAGAAGTTTAAGGCAAATTTCAGATTATCACAAATGCAATTCTGTTTTTAAATCCCTTTGAACAATTCCCAGTTGGTTTACACGATTCAGTGCCTTAAAAAGGACTTACATCTTTGTTATGAGATTCCCAGTCTTTACGCAAGATAACCTGTCAAACATTACAACCCTGCTCTCAACTGGTTCACTTTACACCGACAAACTCCGATAGAACTGTGCTTACACATTCATTTGCAACTCTTCATGATTAACTTTCCTTCCTCTTTCATGTTGCCTCACTTAATGCACGTTCCCCTGTCCCTGTCTTTTTTTTAAAATCTCTTTCCCTCCCCTGCTTCTCTCTGCTGCTCGGCTCAGCGGGAGAACCGTCGCTTGCAAGACGCCAACATGCGCTTGGAGCAGGAAAACGACGACCTGGCCCACGAACTAGTCAGCAGCAAGATAGCCCTGCGCAGGGACCTGGACAACGTAAGCAAAGGAGAAGGAATGCGTGTCGTGTGTGTGTGCGTGTGATGTGTGCACATATTCATAAACTATGAGCTGTCACGAGGAAGATGGCAGGCGCGAGTTGCGTTTTGGCAATACAAACACAAATGTAACATAACCTTTGTTTCCACAACCTTAAAATCTCACGTGTGTGTGTGTGCTGTGTTGAGAGGAAGACAGTAGAAATACAGCTAAGAAAAAGTAGGGCAAGTGTAACTTTCAATGACCTCGTCAGCATTGGTGTGTGTGTGTGTCAGGCTGAGGAGAAGGCGGACGCCCTGAACAAAGAGTTGCTGCTGACCAAGCAGAAACTGGTGGACTCTGAGGACGAGAAGAGACGCCTGGAAGAAGAATCTGCGCAGGTGAGAGCAAGCCGCGGGGCGCTTTTCAGCCTGATGTATTTTAGACGTTAGCTTAATATATTTTTTGCTTTAAAGATCTCGCGCAGCACTCAGAGTTACAGATGGTAGGAAAGCGTCAGCGCTGCTGCGAATTCTCAGGTGAAGGAGCGATCCGAAGTATTGTGTTCATCACTGCTTAAATTGCCTGTCGCTGGGCTCAGGAGGGAAACTGGTGGGACGTGTGCAGTATTAATGTGGCAGGCTGTGAATGAGCCGACTATTCTAAAGGTGAGGCCGACAGTCCGCTGCATCTTATTTCACCGATGATGACGTCTCTTGTTTTTTCCATTGTTGATTTTGTTGAGCTGGATGAAGAATCCCTGAGAGGTGAAGGACGGACCTGTTCACGGTTGACCTCCATCCCGTCTTCTTGAATGTGCGGGTGTAGCTGTGAATGATTTGTGTGCTTGAACAGAGGTTGAGGGTGTGACTTTGCCCCGAGCTTAAAGTCTGCCAAAACCGTTCTCTGCTTTCTTCACTTGTCACAGCAGTCACATGGTCCCCGTCTGTCCTTGGTCTGTGAGCCCTACAACCACCTCACACTATGTGTGTTGCTTTGTTTCCACAGCTCAAGGAGATGTGCAGACGAGAGCTCGATAAGTCTGAATCTGAGATAAAGAAGAACGGTTCCATTATTGGAGAATACAAGCAGGTACGTATACAGTTTGTCTGAACCATGTGCTGCAGAATCATCTGAGCCCAGAAATGAAGTAAAATATGTCAATTAAGAAGTGTGTGTGTGTGTGTGTGTGTGTGTGTGTGTGTGTGTGTGTGTGTGTGTGTGTGTGTGTGTGTGTGTGTGTGTGTGTGTGTGTGTGTGTGTGTGTATATACGATACTATGAGCCTTGCTGTTGAAATCAAACTGCTGAAGTGTCTCTTTTCTCTCTGGTCCATTTTAGAGAAGTGAAACTAAACTCTGCTATCGGCCCTCCCTGGTTTCCCATTTTTGAACACATTAGTTTGCCTTCAAAATCCCAACCTCTTCTACAATCCTCTTAACCGCCTCACTCCAGGCAGCCTATACAATTACACACATCTATGAATGCTAATCCCCTTCCTAATAAGTATACATGGATACATAAGACGAAAAGGTGACGGGAAAAGAGTTGTTCCTCCCAAATAGAGCATTTTGTATCACACACCCTTGTGTCACTGTTGAATCTTGAAAAGTTAATTCTTATAAAATATCTAATCTATCTCTATCATAATAATATCATCAACATACCACCAATCATGGTTGTAAAATAATCTGAATTATCTCAAAATGATATGATGTACAGGTTTTAGCTTTATTCATTTAAATTGAACTCAAATCTAATCCAAAGAAGATGATTAGATGGTTTATAGATGTTTTTGTGTGTTTGTTGCCTCACCCTGAACTCTGGATGTTTGTATCTCTTTTCCTCTTATTTTATTCATAAGCTTATTTGGCTTGTCTATTCAGAACTAAGCTCCATTACACGACTGGCCATGAATACCCAACAACAACACAACAGCCGTGCGTTTCCAGTCATTCATTGAGAAACGCCTAATTTTAGGGAACGGCCTTAAACTGAACCCGTGAGCATATTTTGAGTTCCCGTCCCTTTTAATTTCTCTCTCCACGATCTCCATCCTTTCAGATCTCACCCAGTCACTCAATGCTTAAATATAAGCCCACTTGGATAAAGTCCTATTACCATCAGCAGGGAGACATTATGCAACAACCCAGCTCTTAATACTCCCTGTGAAGGCAAACAGAAATAGCAAGAGGACTAATTTAGAAACTGAGACTAAAGATCTTGGCGGCAGATTGGAATTGACGTCAGATCTGAAAAATGATGAAGCGCTGTTGTGGGTTTGGCGGGTAAAAGCAGCTTTCCGATTGCTAGCATGCAGCTGAGCAGCGCTAAGTGTGAAAACGGAGCTTTGTTATTTCTGCGGCAGGGAATAAGGGGGGTGATGGATGGCGAGAGGGAGAAAATTAACTGAAGTATGTGGCGGAGAGCAGAGGGAGGACGGCAGCATTCAATCCTCTGGGACCGACGGGTTTGAGGAATGCCCCAAAATAGGCCCAGGCATTGTTCTCCAACCCAGATAACTCAAAGAATACTTCAAACGGCGTTTTCATATTCAGACGGCTGTGAATGCCCCGCTTCTTTTTATGGCATTAGAGCCGAGATGAGCTTTGTGGGGCTAATTGCCCCTCCAGTCTGTTAATGGTAAAGTTAAAAACGCCGAGTGGCGTGTTGTTGTCGCCGAAGGAGGCTGTGCGTCTGTTCTATTTATTTTATTATTTCTTACCGTTTTAAAATATTTTTACCCCAGACGCTGAAATATTTGAAGCATAAGAAGTATATTTGATGTTAGATAAAGCAGTTAAAAGTAGCGTGCGTACAAAAAGCGGATTCTCAGCGCAGCAACTGCATGCATGCATTATTGTCAAAGACAAGAGTTGGTAAAAAAAAAACCATCCATCATATATTAGATATTAAAGCAATGAGGATTCCTGACTGTAGATGTTTACCTTTTATCTTATGCAGCCCTTCTACAAATTCTGGAAACCTTGAGAGATGATGGTGCCTACTTAAAATGTTGGGGGGGCTAAAAAATGATTGAAGACTGCTTGCATACAAAGTGGGAGGATGTACACGAGGCCGTGGAGTACCTCTAGTTTAAGAGCACGCAGGCCGGAGTAAAGGAGCCAGGCGGCAGCTGTGAGATGAAGAGGGGGATGAGTAGTCGGTAGTGATGAAGGGAGAGGCAGAGACACGAGTTCAGTAATGCCAGTTGAATGTAAAATAAGGAGAGAGGGGATGGGGGGGGGGGAGAAGATAAGGCATGTCGGAGAGGAGAGCGATTGGATATCTGCTCGGCTGGAGGTACACAGACAGACGTGTATAGATTGATCTGTAAAGGAGGAGGATGAAGACGTACAGTATGTGCCGAGAGCAGGAACAGATAGAGACACAGAGAGGTGGGATGACCCGATGTTCCCGTTAGAATGACTCATGTCCCATCGATCGCTCTGTTCCTCTGCGAGTGTGTGTGCATGTGTGTCTCTCTGGGTGTCTGTGGCTGTGTGTCATACGTATAGAAGAAGAATAAAATGAGATTGGTAAGTATGCACATTCGTGTGCTTCCATTGATCCCTGCTGGGGAAAGCTGCACCCGAGACTCTGCCAGAGAGACTAAATTACGGACCATCACAAACGGGGGGGGATGTTCAGGAGAGGCACAAATCCAAATAGCTGAAAAAACTCCCATCTTTCCTCGGTAGAGCTGGCAAGCGGTTATGTCGTAATGACAGAACACAATGTGTGAACGACCGTCTCTTGTCTGGTTCCTGCAGATCTGCTCCCAGCTGAGTGAACGACTGGAGAAACAACAGACGGCCAACCGAGGAGAACTTGAGAAAATCCGGGTAATTTTGACGCACACAAACGCATAAATCTAAAGATCGCATTTTAGAGTTTCTGCACGTCGGGTTGGGACCCTCGAAACTGGATGGAGCCGGTTAGGTTCCTGATTGTATGTGTTCCAGGTATGGGAGAGGGGAGGTGGGGGGGGAAACTATCTATCCATCTCAGTCGCGCTTGGCAGTGACATCAAAGATTCTGGGGCAAGGCGTCTTGCTTTCTTGCTTGGCTGAGAAACTGTTTGTTTAGACTCTAGCCGGGCTGAAGGCCATGTTGGCAACGCGCGCCGTCAGGGCGGCCCAAGGACACGCACACACGAGGACGGACAAAAGCTGCATCGCACCAAGGACAAGTTCTGTAAAGCTCTTGTTGTTTAATAATTACGGTCTAGCACAGGCAATATATCTGTCAGCAATCACAAGTATAATTGAGGTAAGGGAAGGATGAGTGGCAGCGGATAATATACAATTGTAAATTATGACAGTGTTAATTAGACGTGTTGACATAATGTAGTGACACACTTATTCACTGAGAGTCTATTTCAAGTGATGACAAAAACACTTTCAGCCTCGGTGCTCTGCAGTTTCATTAACGCTCCCTTCCACATCGGCACCGATACGTCCAATCCCTATTTGGCTTCAAACTCGGTTGACAGTTTAATCCAAATGAAATGTGGTTTCAGTGTTACGGAAGATCTCAACCATCATAGTTAACCGTTGTTGCTAAGGAACACAGCGTTGAATATGACCTGAGGTACTTTGGACAATCGGGTTTGCTGCTGAACGCTCCGGTACTAATATCCATCTTCAGGGGTCTCAACGGAGAACATGCATAAAATAAACGCCATCGCACTAAGGAAAACGTTTCGGGAGGCGTGTCACAGAAATGCATCATTGTAATACGTGGTTGTGGTGTGAAAAAGCAACCTGAATTAAGTGCGGCGTGCATTATAGTTTTTCCTGTGACCTCGTCCCTCTCATCCACGTCTAGTCCAAAGTGGAGGGCTGTGAGAAGTGCAGCGGCCTTTTCAACAAAGAAGGTCGCGTGCGGGCGGCTGTGAGCCGGGCCACAGCCGGAGGGGCCGAGGAGACCGATGAGGAGAAGGAGGACTTGAAGAACCAGCTGAGAGAGATGGAGCTGGAACTGGCTCAGACCAAACTGCAGCTGGTTGAGGCGGAGTGCAAAATCCAGGTACGCCAACAGCGAGACGGACGTAAACGTGGGAAAGTCGATGGTGAATCCCGGGGAATATTCATACCAGGAGTTATGCCGGATATATTGAGCAGGAATATTACTACCAGGGGGTGATATGCTGTGGGAAGGAAATCAGGATCAAAGGGATTTGAGTGTTAAAAATGGTACCAGATATTTCAGACTGCATCTGGATCAACAGGAGAAGAAATGTGTTGCCTTATATTTATCGGCGGGCTCGTTTCAATGCTGTTCTGTGATAGTCGAGTGACGGATGTCTTTCCTGTGCCATCAGGACCTGGAGCACCACCTGGGTCTGGCCTTCAACGAAGTGCAGGCCGCCAAGAAGACCTGGTTCAACCGCACGCTCAGCTCCATCAAGACCGTCACGGGGGCCCAGGGCAAGGAGACCACCTAACCTGTAATACACCCCCCCACCCTCACCCTCCTCCCCCAACCAGCTTTACCCAGACACGTCTGGCAATTAGAGCATCTCGCTACGCTGAAACCGCTGGACGCTTAACTTCACCCGCCGGGACGGACGGACTTTGACATTCACCCATGAATTACCACGACTACAGACTGTGTTACTTGCCCTTCTATTCACGAGTCCCTGCCACCCCCCCTCCCCCTCCATTATCTTATCCACCCCGAATGACTACAGCCAAATGGGCTGATGCGAAGGGGTTAACAAATAAGGTGAAGTACAAACCCCCCCCGACCCACCCAGAGACACGATGTGCTTCCACGGGTCACACAAGTGTGAGATAACTGAAAAAAAAAGAAAAAAAAGGACGTGCTCCATTTATTTCTGTCTTTGAACTGCTGATGTTGACGAGCCGCAGAAGGAAGGTAGGACACCTGCAGTGTGGCGCCGTCCTTCCTCACTCTTCTGCCTCCTCTTCACCACCGGCACTAACCAGCCGGTTCCTGTAAAAATCCTGGTTTTAGGTACGAGAGCTAATAGACACCTTTTGAAATCGGAGCTTTTCTAATTTACGTTGAACAATACCTTTCTTTTTCCATGTATGTACACGAATGTGCTTATGTAATGAGCATGTGTGTGTGTGTTTGTGTGTAAGCACGCAGATTTTGTTTTGTGTCAGACTGTAAAAAATTGTGTTTGAATGCGTAAATAATTGACTGAGATAATGTTCTAATGTGTGTACAACAGAAAGACGGACAGCGTGTGATACTCCAAGGGAAAAGAAAAAAGCACTAAGGTGTGTGTGTGTGAGAGTGTGTGTGTGTGTGTGTGTGCGTGTGTGTGTGTGTGTGTGTGTGTGTGTGTGTGTGTGTGTGTGTGTGTGTGTGTGTGTGTGTGTGTGTGTGTGTGTGTGTGTGTGTGTGTGAGTGATGCTGCAGAAAAGGTTTCTGCCAAAGACTTGATCTGAGGGTGGATGAAGATGAAACCAGTGGATATGAACATGTGGGGACAATGTAACATGCTGGAGGTTTGTTTGATGTGGATTTCCAAGCACAAAGAAACTAAAAAAAAAACATCCAAACTTCCGCATGTAACACACTTCACCTGTCTGAATGTATGAACGTAGTAAACGCCAGGGGGTCCCGTGATTGTTACGCACCCTAAACGTCCCTTTGAGGAAGTGGGAAGTCCAAATGGAAACAACCAACATTCACAGGAGGTTGTAATTCCTGCTGCACTTGAACACACCGCAACCCCCCTCCCTCCCCCTCCCTACTCTGGCGTCAGCTGCTCTGTGACCTTTGACCTTGGCCGTCAGGGTCACGTTTGATACTTTGCTCAGCGGCGTATTTACCAAACTTCTTTTTGGGATCTCCTTAACCACTATATATAAAAATAAGAATTACACTGTTTGAAAAAAAGATGTTTTTTCTGAACGGCACTATGGGCGTCTATGGGAGGATGAGGCAACAGTGAGCAAGCGATGAGAGGAGAAGGCCACATGAGGGGGGGGGCACAATCAGCACAAAAAGCTTGACTCCCGGGTGACGCTGGGGGGGGTCAGCTCATGATTTCCTGGCCGTGGGACAAAAAGCTCATAACGAGACGGGTTACATGATGTTCCGGGTGACGGTTTCACAAACCGATCAGCTTTATTTAGCTTTACGTTCAATCCTGGTGAAAGACTCTCAGCACTTTGATGAATTAGTGTCTCAGCGGGTTAAGGGAAATGTGCAGCACTCCACCTTCAGCGTGGATCAGTCCCAGGAGGTCAGAGTGAGGTCATCAGAGGGTCAAGCAGGGGGTCAAACTGAAATACACTCCGGATGAGGCCAGAGGAGTTTGGGTGTTGAGCAAGTGCTTGTGTGTGTGTTTTTGTGTCTTGTTGTCATGTTAAGCTGACTGGAAAAGTCTCAACAATATTTAAATTTCTATTCATATTTCTTGGATCAGATTAAACTGAAGAAAGAAAAGAAATGCTTTTTTTGTGGTTTTAGCTTCAAATTAACAGTTACTGCTAATTGCATCCGACTTGAAGGAGGAATCTGATTGGCTGAAATCTACTGGTGACGTCAGAAAGGTCCAGATGAAGAAAAAAAAGGGCCGTCCCTCTCAAGGCACTGGGTTGTATATAACGAACATTTAGAAATAAAAATGAATATTCCGTTATGATTTTCTACAGTGTAACTATAACTAACGTTGCCTACTTGTACCTACAAACCTGCTGTTGTGCTATTAATCCACAAGATTTGTTTTTAATGTTTATATTGCTCAAACTTCTCAGTCGGGCTGCTGTTTGGTTAATTAAATGCCAAAACGTAGCGTTATCATCCACCAACAAAAAACATTATCAACGTGTGGAAATTGTTATAGTGTAGGATACATTGTGTATACTTCATGAATTCCAATATAAAGATATCAACACAATACGTCTGCCTCTTGACTCCTCCTGCATTTTTAATGGAAGATCCTACACACAGTAGTTGGAGATGAAGAAGTTAAACTGAAAGTATGGTCATCGTAATACAAAGAACTGAATCACACCATAAAAAGGTCAGTGTTTGTTTGCCATGACTGGTTATAGATATTGTAATATAGAAGGCCAAGTTATGCAATAAAGAAGTCGGTGATTGAAAAAACTCAAATGTATACTGTATTGAAAAAAGGACCTAAAAAGACTTCTTGCAAAGTCAGTGTACTATGTCAAAAAAGTCCTGGTAATGTCAAATAAAAGCCAAATATAGCCTGTAAAAAAAGAAAGTCATAGTTGGCGTACAGCTTGTAAACAATTCATAGAAAAAATATGTCAAAGTTCTGGTTTAGTTCGTCAAAAAGTAATTATGTCAAAAAAGTTTGTGTTCAAAGACAATTCATACAGAACTAAAACCGTGGCACTAAAAAGCATCGCGGTTCGATACTCGATCGATCTGCGGGAGGCCAAATACAAACTGAATAAACCACCTGGTGCTTTGATGTTTCAGTCGCTTTGGTTTGAAAAGATTTGATCACAGCTGAAAGAACGAAAATGGTAAATAAATCCATTGTTTGAATATTGAATTTAGATGAAAAGGTCTGTGAGACAGCGTACAACTCAAACTAACTGCAGGCCGTACAGTAGCATTAAGTCTAAACATGATTTCATGCGTGCATTTCAGCACGAAAAAGAAAGAAAATAAATATATACCAAATGTTCTATCTCTCGTGCTCGGTAGTACGATCCTCTTTCTGCACGAGCTGAATCAACATGTTGGGATTCCTAACTCACAAATGGGAACCATTTCCATCCCCAGTTTCTGTTGGAAAGTAAAGAGCATTTTCTGTACTATTCAGGTCAAACACCTTCCCTCCATTAGAGCACTCAATGCATTCAAGGCTCCAAATCTTTAAAAAGAGATATATTTAATAGTGCTTTGCAGTTTTATCCGTCTTCCGAGTTCAAAGCCGGCTTCTAAAAAATAAATCTATAAAGCCAAGCATGTTGTTTTTCTGCTGGTTTTCATGTTTCTGCTGAAAAGGATTGGAGGCTACGATTAAGGCTGCTATTGTTATAATAATGAGCGTTCTCTAACTCACCTCCTGGGAAAACCTTCACTGCACATCTGAGACAGTTTACAGCGTGAAAATAAAAGTTTCCTTCCGGTTAATTTTTGTCCGCCCCCTGCAAACCGCCTCCATCAGCTGCTCAAGCTGGATGCAAATCTCCTGGTATCTTACACTTTCATCTCAGTCGTCCCACTCACTCACGCACGGCTGCATTGTTCCCGTCTCTGGGATGAGCTATTTTCTGCCGTGGCCTGCGTGCACTCAATGAACAGGTTGCACTGGTTGCGCTGGAGGTCTCGCGTAGATCATCTGGAGTGTTTCTAACCCAGGAAGGGATCACCCGCCTCTCCTCCTCTTTCCGTCCTGCGTTACACAGCTATAAATACGACCGGCGAGGCAGCAACAGAGTAAAATGCAAAGGTGGAATGCTGATGGGACGGGACATACGAGAGTGTGTGTGTGTGTGTGTGTGTGTGTGTGTTAGATGACACACCCAACAACCTGCTGAACTCGGCGTTGCTCCTGACTGACAACGCACTGAACTCACGTACATATCGTGGGCATGATTTTATTTGAAGAAATATTAAACTGTTGTTAGACCGTATAGTTCTACAAAATGGCAGAGAAATAAAGCCTGTGAATTGAAATCTGAAATGCTGTTGAAACAAAGGTTGTAAGTAAACAATGATTTGTAAAACCAATCATAAAAACCTACATATAAACGACCTGTGAACCTTCAGGTTAACGCCTGATGTATTTATATGTTAATATTAATATCTGGATCATGCGTGGGACATTTGGGGGCTCAATGTGGCCTCGAAGGTGAAACCCTGAGTGTTGAATCAAACAAAGCTTCAGTGGTAAGTTAAATGTGGAGAGTTGAGAAAAATGACGAGAACCTTTTCTTTCACATTTAATTAAACTCATATTTGTGTTTTCCCCTCATTTTTTAATCATGGGAAGTACACTGATTTTAGCTCAAATAATAAATTCACATTATTCTGCCTGAACTGCCCTGGATTAATATAAATTTACCTCCAGTACGTCGCAATGAGGGACGATGTTTCCCCAGCAGTGCTCACAGGTCACAAACGTCACAAAGATGTTGAACATGCGGATATATTTCTAAAAGTAGTTGGCGGCGTTTTATTTTATCTGTGTTCACTTAGTAGATTCTGATTAGATGAGAGATTTTGAATCGAGACATTTGTGTTTCTGCATCGAGTGTTATGGGGCTTTTCCCACGGGAGACATTTGACCTCTTAATCAAATCACACGTGTTACCGACATGTGTGACAGCCGTGTTCTTTTCAAGACCCTGTGCGACATATCGGGAACCTGAAAAAGAATAAGCAAAACAGCGTTATCATTTGCCATAAATACATTATTATGTGTATTATTCTATTGACTCCACAGTGCTTTTCCTTCTGCAATAACACACCAAGCATATCCATTTAAACAATGTGTGTTAAATACAAGATGAAGCAATGGAAATAATAAGTAACAATATACTTTATGTGATATTATGTCACGTAACGCTTTGCAGTGTTACGCTATGCTGCGTCTGTTTAGATGGTCACTCATTGTTTCCATTTGCTAATTAACAAACCCCAAAATCCAGGCATTTGGAGCCTACTTTTGCACAGTTAAAGAACTAATAACAGATATCTATACCAAGAAAAAGAGCTTAATAACCTGAAACTGTCTTGCACCATTCTGCTCTTGAACTTCAGAGAAGGCCGAGCACAGTGAAGGATTTTAAACATCACACTGAATGGGCCTTGTGATGTGGCTCTGAACATTTTATAGATTGCTCTCTCTAAAGCACCGAATCCCCGGCAACTTGCAGCGTTTTCGCTTCGAAAAATAGTCCGAAAAATCCTCACAGTTTCTAGATTTCTAAACAGGCACATATTCGCCAAAATGTGAGAAAAATGAATGTTGTGCAAACACTAAACTAACGGCTACCGATGACACAACTTTACACTGTGGTGTTTTATTCAACATACATGAATAGAAGGTTGTATTTAATCAACACAACTCTCCCTGATTTCAATGTCTAAGCTTTCCTCTCACAATGAGCAAATTGTCAAATAATCAATCCATTCGTTTTTGTCAGTTTAAATAACTAAATTGTTTAATGAAAAAAGTAAAAAGTGTGTAATATCGTCCCTACTTGCATTCCTCTGCTGGAATGTGTTCTAGATGCATCATTATCATAATTTGTGTCAACTGTTTACCCCTTTATTTATGTCATATTGCGATGCATTATGGGTAATTTCCCTTCTGCAGAAATGTGTGTACAATCTCATTGTCCCCCCTAAAGCCTTAAACCCTTAAAGGGACAGCTCTTTGCTGAAATGCATCCCGTTACCATGACAACGTAAAAGAATGCAGTACGGTGTAAGGGTTTATTTTATACTTTTTACTCCCTGATTTGAATGTTTTATATATTCAAATAATTTATTTGCGTCACAATAGCTTCAATAACAAAAATGTTAAATAACAAAGTCTATACAACAAAAATAATCTCCGCTTCCATTCCTCCTAATTTGTCTTTAATCCTTAATGTTGGAGTAAATCTAACGTGCCGTCCTCTTTGTTTAACTGTTTATCTTAGAATCACTCAAAAAAAGGAACTTTACGATTGGCAATTTTATCTAAAGATTTCAGAGGATTAATCCGGGTCATTTACATCTTTCTTTAAAGGGTTGAAGCATAATGTCACAGTAAAGCCTCCTCATCAAGTGCTCGGACTCCACAGATGCTGAACAGCCCTTCAAACTAAATTGAGAACTTGGCTCGTGTGACAAACGTAGCATGAAAACGCCGTTGAATCGCGTTGATATCGGCTTACTTTGTTTATAGGTCTTGTTAAATCTTCGGCACCAGTGACGTCTATAAACAGGTGCTGGTGTCGCGTGGAGAGAACGAAGGCTGTCAAGCGGATCTAATTTGTGAGCATAATCGCGGCGTCGTGTTCGCCAACTGAAACACAACACGGAACACAACACGGCTCGTCCGCCGTCAGCAGTCGAAGTGACAATGCGTCGGCCCACATTGTGTGAACCTGGGCCGTGCGTACCAGCGCCTCTGCTGCTGCTTAGTGGATTCCCAGACGCACGTACCTGCTTTAAGAGGTTTTACCATCAGATCAGGACGCTGCGGTTAGTCTGCCATCAGGAGCAAAGCACCGTGAGCTCCACTGTTAAGACACTTTTCACACACACGTTACATACCTGCCGAGCAGGTCTTTCCCCCTTACATGTACACACACTCACAGCCTTGGCAGGCGGATTGGCAGCAGTGTGTGTGACCTGCAGGGGTCGGCTGCCACAGAGGCCACTTGATACCCGGACAGCGCCGCTCTGGACGTGATGGACGGCTCACGGGCTGAAACTCTTCTCAGACCAAACCAGCGCAAGTATTGTCACAATGTGGGTATTTAAGGAGGACATTTTTTTTTTTTAATGCATGATCAAAATCAAAATGCAGACTGTTTATTTTACGAGGAGGGGTTCTTCTGATTTTGATCACGGTGTGTTTTGCCTGCGTGCATTGAGCATGCAGTATTATTTGAGTTTGACACACATCCTGTAGTGTTTTGGGACTGTTGATTTCCCCGCGTTCCATTTACAGCTCATCACTGTACTCGGTTCATTTCAGAGACCATTAAGAGACAGATACTCCCAAGAGGAGATTCAGCACTTTCTCAGGTTTATTTTCAGTTGGTCAAGCATAGATTATGGTAAAAACAGTGACAACCACAGAGCATCGCCGCCGTAAATGTTGCTACTAATCAAAGCGGTGGGACGCGGCCGGTCCGCCGACTTCGGCCTCGGTGTGTGAGACTCATCGTTGCACCTGACAAACAGACCCTGTGGACAGGCGCCACTTCACCGCGCCACAGGCAGCATCGTAAAACGGTTTTCTTTAATCCCCTTTTCGTCAAAAATAAATTAAAATAAGAAAAATCATATTTACAGGAAAAAGTAAACATTCATCACTCGTAAGACACTACTTTTGTAAATAAAAAAGGGGGAAAGAAATGTTCATTCTAAAGGGTGGATGCGCCCAAAAACAACTGTCACAAGTAGCTCAAAAGATATATAGATGTATATATATGTATGTATCCATATATATTCTGTATATATGCTTCTCTACGAAAAAGCAAGTTTTTTTTTCTCTATGAGTGAATACATTCTACTCTACAATCACTAGAACAACAGTGTACATTCCCAACCAAAATGCTGCAATTGCTTATCAGGAGGATATTAGACTTAAACAATCAGTGGACCGTGACCAGGAAGTATGCGACAACATGCTTAATGTGACTGCAATAGTGTGTGTGTGTGTTTGTCTCTGTGTGTGTGTGTGTGTCTGCATGCATATGCAGCTTCGCATTCCCCTCCGGTTTACGTGCTGCACAGACAAACGCTCCCCGGTGAAACCGATGTGTCGTGCAGTCAGTCCGGGTGGCTTCGCCTCGCGGTGCCGGATCCGTTTCTGCTGCTCTGCAGAGTTCAGGGCGGCTTCCAGCTTCTCTCTGCTTCCGGACACGTTTAGCCCAGGAGGCCTACTCTCCGAGCGACACGCGGAAAACTTTGTTTTTCGCCGGCAGGAGATGAAATCTTTCCTTTCCTTTCGACCGGATATCACAAACACGTGGTGCCTCCCGTCCCAGACTGCCAGGATCTTCAGGTTTGTTGAAAAGGTTTCAGTCTTTGGTGTCGGGATAAATCCCGTTCCGCAGAACAAACCTGGAACCCGTTTCCCCAACTGCATCTCAGCATTCTCGCTGCTTTTTTTAATCTTTGATTTGACCTGGCAGGAGGATGAAGAGGCGCTTTAGGGAAAACGGGCTCCGCAGTCCAGCAGGCCGTCGTTACCTGGCAGCTCCGCACCCTTTAAGCACTGAACATATTGCAGCATCTGAAGGCGCAAAGGGTCGCCAAAACAAAAAAGTTTCTCTCATCAGCAAAGCTCGAGTTGTTCACAGATAATTGCTGCATCTACGAAAAGGCAAAAGTAAAATCCATTACCTACAGTGCGACGGACAACCCGTTATAATGCACCGACGTGACAAATGGGGGAGGGGGGGGGTTGGATTTCCTCAGCTATACATGGCTCAAATCCTAAAATACAAACAAGGCCTTACCGCTTGTGTAATGCTCACTACATACAGCGCACAACCTTATGTGTAACACACAAACCACAAAGCAGAGAACTTCTTATCGACAGTGAATGCTGATATGAATATTTACATTTAGAATTACATGCGTTGGAGTGGGTTTTTATCTCTTTGCATACTCCTGCGTGTGTGTGTGTGTGTGTGTGTCAGGTGGCCCTGAGAACAAGGGTGTGGGTGTGTTGTTTGTGTTTTGTGCTTCTTAGATTCCAAAGTGTGATTGTTAAACGCCCACGGAGAGGCGGTGTTCCTAAAAGTGACGCTGCCACTTCACCACAAAGAGCCGTCACTCTCGAGCCGAGACCACGAATATTATGTATTTTTCATTAATCTAAATGATAAAAGATGATAAAAGGGGCAGACACGCATGCACGACCCGCCTAACTACGAGACGACAACTCGCAAACCCTCTACAGTCCCACCGGAGCGCCTGGGCCAGATGGAGACGGGCTGCGTCCCCCCTGAGCCGACGGACCAAGAGGACAGGCTCAGTAGTCAGGGTGACTCCTCCGAAAGTGTCTGAGGGGGGAAACGAAAAGGTTGCTCACTGAGATATGACTGTTCCCCTTATTAATGTGGGCCATCTGGACCGAGACAACAGGGGTGGGTGTTCTGGTGGGTGAGGGGGGGGGGACACGCAGGGAGCACAGTGGGCGCCACACAGCTCCCACATGGGCGGTGGGGACTCGCGCCATAACGCGCGCGGCCCACCGAGCGGATGAGACCAAGTCGAGGAACGAGAGCTCGCCCTTCGGTTCACCTCCGATTCCCTGGTCGCAGCTTGACGGCACAATTTCATCCCGTCCTGCCGAAAAACTGCCGAATCGTCTTTGCCGGCAGCCAAGTGGCGTCATTACGTCTGACTGTCATTCTTACTTTCAGTCTTAGAGGCCTGGGTGGGGTCCAATTGTCAGGTGTCGTTTTTTGTTGAATCAAAGCAAATACAAACACATGACATCAATGCAACCTTTGTGGAGGGTGGAGGAGGGGGGTGGGGGTGGGTGCTTTTGATGCACATTCTGTTTGATTTTGCATCTGCAGTCTGACACCTCGTCTCCAGGCTGAAAATAAAGAAAGTGATGAAGGGCTTTCAGACGCATCACAGAGCATTGCAGGAGTACTAGGAGCCTGCTGCGACTTCTACCTCAGTGTGAAGTCGCCTGTTCCAATGCATTTATATGCATTAAGCACTTTAGGACTTAATGGGAAATCTCATCTCTCAGTTGAATAGCTACTAGCGGGTGTGGGGAGGGGGGGGGGGCTTTTGATGCACATTCTGTTTGATTACCACCTGGGTAAATAATGTCTTTTAGCAGCGTTGAAGCCACAACAAACAGTGAACTACAACTAAGCAAAATATACATAGAATTTGAGACTAAAAATGATAACAAACCAAACTCAAAAAAATTCTCCACAGCAGTTTACCACATTTGTGAGTAGTGAGTTGAGAAGTGCCTTAAAATGCATGAGGATTCTTCAAATTCTCCAAAGAGAAATATTCAGTTATAAATACAAGCCAATATATCGTTTGGGCTAAAAAGACAATTTCTCATCCTCAACTGTGTTGCACGGTGGAAGAGTTCAGGATCACGACTCTATTAAGAACCTATTTAGCCTCATGAGCTTTTGCATAAGTGGTTGTAACTAGACATGCACCAATAAAGCTTTCCCTCTCCAAAAAGCAAAACGCGTCTTTTGTCTGAAACAGGTGAACTACACTGTGCTTATTGGAATCGTACGAATGTACTCGATACTAATCTGGCACGTTCCTCAATTCACCTCAGCCTCCGTGACTGGCAAAACGTACGCTGTACATCAACCAACCCTCCATCTCAAAGTCGCACTTTTAACGATTTTTGCTGACTACACTTTTAATCGGTCAGTCAGTATTGTGTGCTGCGTCTTTGGCCCTTTGACATCCGCATCTTCCACCAGCAGCATCCTGTCCGTACAGTAGGGGATCACTGTGGAAAGTTGGAGGGACATAGAGTGTGTGTGTGTGTGTGCGCGCAGGAAGAAGCGATAGCAATGCGTGTGTGTGTGTGTGTGTGTGTGTGTGTGTGCGTGTGTGTGAGCTGTGCTTTTGGTCCCAAAGGCGAGCGGGACGATTCTTCCGGGTACTGACGGTTGATTCCACTGACGCGTGTTAATGCAGATGGAGGAGCAAGTACATCAAGAGTGTACACATGTGTGCAGTACACATGTGCACATGTGTACTGTACACATGTGCATGTACAGTACCGTATTTGTAACAACAGCATTCCCTGCCAGCAGTGAGACTATAGAAAATGTGCTTTCTGACAGGAGAAGTGTGTGTGTGTGTGTGTGTGCGTGCGTACAGGTGGGATTGTGCGATGAGTGCCTGGTAAACAAACCGCGGGCAGCAGAGAGGCTCACAAAGGCTCAGAAAGACGTACAAAGATAGAGCAAAAGTTTGAACAAAGGAGGGAGGAAAGGAAGAAGGAAGCATTGTCATTCGAACAGCAGAGGTTAATATGAATACCAAAGATAATATTGCATCTCCTACAACTAGCTTCAATTGCTCAGTGTATATAAAATTGGAAGAAAGCTATACTGTGATATTACAGTTACATTACACTTTATAATTCTAAAATAATTTATACCAACAATAGTTATATTTTATAGAATATTTACATAAATACATTATCATATAGTAATCGTTTTGTCAACACATTGTTATAGAAACATACACCATACATATATGTGTATATAGTCACGTTAAAGCCACACGCACGCACACATGTGATGAATATACAATCAGAATGACCTATTGCGATGCTGTGTTGTGTGAAACTCCGTTGGACATTCACTTCTTCTCATGAATGAAGCTCATAGAGGAGTTCTGGTGTATTGCTATAAGAAAGAAATTCAGCACAGCCTCGCGCAGCTGAACATTTCTGATAAAATCGGAGTATTGCTTCATGTAGTTTCCCTCCTCTGACGTGATAAATCTGGGCGAGAGTCGGGGAAACAAAGAGGAGCCGTGAGCCTTTCAGATCAGCAGTTGAGGTTCTGAGCGTCCGTGACCTTTAGGTCGTTTTTTTTTTTTTTTTCCCCCAGCGGGCCGATCAGACGGAAAAGAGTTTGGGATCGATGAGTCCGTCACCTGGATAGAGAGGCGTCCCGCTTCGACGGACTGAAAAGACGGTGTCCCGTGAACATTGCGAAGAGGGTGTCCAACGGCCTGCGGCCCCCTAGAAGTCAGAGAAGAGATCCTGGGGACCCAGATGAATGATAAAAGGAGCGATGGTCCGCGGCTGGTAGAAGGGATTGTCAATGAAAAGACCACCTGCAGTGAGTTCAAGAAACAGAGACAAATAGAGCATGATTGATTACTACACACACACACACACACGCTAACCTTATCTGGATTTATTATCTATTTAGATCCCTAAACCTCCACGGCCACTTTCCCAAAACACGACCAGAAATCCCATGTTGGTGAATGATGTCACTGTTCCAGGTCTCGGAGAAGCACATGAACGGGTTAATTAAAAGTGGAATCCTGTGGCACGTACCTTAACATTTAGCTCTGTCCAAGGGGAAAGGAACGCACCGCGTCTCTGCTTGGTCCGCGAGATAAAAACAACGTGGCGGTTTCTCGTTTCCAGTCTTTGTGCTAAGCTTCACTGACCAGCTGTCTGCAGACCTCCGGATGGTATCAGCCGTCTCATCTAACTCTCCAGAAGAAGGAAAATTCCCCCAAATGTTTACTTGTGTAGCTCGGAGCTGGTCCAATAGTGGACACGTGGACTTTAGTGAAAAGCCTTGCAACGTGGATTTAATCAAACCACATAAAGACTGAACGTAACATAAGACACTGGTCTGGCAGAGTTCAAGGAACAATGATCCCTGGAACTCGTAGTGCAATGAAGCAGATTCCAGCCAAACGGATAATAACACAAAATATACACAACAGCTGGAAATTAATCTTCCGTAATGTGAGATTAAAATAAAGCTGTGGGGATGTTGGACAAATGTCATTTGAAAGGTTTCACAGAGTCAGTGGAGCTCAACCGACCAACCATTGAACAGCCTGCCGGGTCCTCTCAGCCAATGGCTGCGTCTCACAGACAGAATCACGCCATGAGGCGCTTATGTCTCGCCGGTGGGATGACGGAGATGTGTTCAAGGACAATTTAAAACCCATCAGCAGTGGTATACTCTCTTTTGTACGGTTTTTTCCTCTTATATTGGATATTTTGGTTACTCTTTCGTCAAATATTTAAATAAATAGTTTAAGTCAGTTGGTGCTGATCCTTCTTTGATGGTAGCAATGGTGCTGATATCATAAAACAACCTAAGACACGGATGTTTGTGCCAGAGGTGATGCAGTTCCCCAGATGTTTTTAAGGTAGAAGTTGTCTTTGTAGTCGTAAGTATTTACTCTCTTTGGGCCGTTTTAAACTAATTGAATCCAGCTACAATAACGTATCAAGCGTTAAAACGCTTATATATAGAGATTATATATATATATATATATATATATATATATATATATATAAATGCTCTACTTATAATGTGGTCGATCTAACGGATAGCTGTGGGAAATCTGCCAAGCATTGATACACAATCGGTAATGGAGCTGAATGCAACATAGAGAATCCAAAAAAAAGCTTTTACAAATTCACCCGTTGTCTTCAGGCATTTCTCTTTAAATATCTGTAAGCGGAGGGTCACGAGGAAATAAAGAGGATCCCTGAGGTAAGTAGGGAGATTTAAAACCTGCATCTATGAGGGTGGAATATTAAAGCTTAATGCACGTTTCTCGCAGTATTTTGTGCAGCTTCCTCATGCTGAGTGACATAACGGACTGAAATAGTCAAACCCAAAACAAAAGGTTGCTAAGCCTTTAAACAGATAAACACCAGGCAGTGTTCAGCTTTTATAGGAGATGCACTTTATTCATTTGCAACATTATTATTTATTTATTCCTATACATCCTTCACACAGCTCCTTATTATTATTTTTTTTTCTTTTTTTTTACAGAGAACGTGTGTGTTGTGTGTATCATGTTGCAAATGCTCTTCTCTCCCCCTCAAAAGAATAAACACAATAACACAAGGCTGATATATATAATTTAGACTCAAAGAATGAGGTTACAATTCACAGTACAAACCCTTCAAGTTTTTATCTCATAACAACCTAAACCCGCAGTAATTTTTCATATTCATAAAAGTTTTTGGAACAGAAAGAAATCAAACAAAAAAAAAATCTTCAACTCAAGTCCTTAATCCTCTGCCCATCATATACACTGTAGAAAAAAAGATTCCCTTCTTAAAAAAAGCAAATTGCATGGCCTGAATAAGAGTGTTTGCTATGGACGAAGATGCGCTTGTTGTGTGTGTGTGTGTGTGTGTCTCCCGTGCTAAAAGAAGTGGTAGTGGGGGACGGGGTAGGTGGGCATTTTCATGACAGGCAACAGAAGCATTCTCTTGGGCAAACCTAGAAGGGAGACACGAGAAGAGCACAGCTCTGCATGAGTCCAACAAACACGCCAGGTGGCTGTATTCTCACTGCACCGCATTTAGGAGCAACACTGCAGCGAGGGGGCTCCCAGAGGGGGGAGTGGACGCGTGTGAGAGGACGGGCAGGATCGTGAGTACACAAAGCGACACCCTTCTTCGGTGGTTAGAGGAGCCGAGAAGGAGACGGATTCGGAATGAAAAGAGAAGGAAGCAAGCGGCCAAAGTTAACGATTCATTCTTGGTTTATTGCAACTCGGGTCTGGTTTCTGTTGCTGATCCATCAATAATTAATTACGGAGACCTGCAGCTCAACGTTGAAACGCTGCCTCTGTTTTGGCCTGAGAATAATTTGGGTTAATTAGGGGAGGTGGTTCTTCTCAATGGCGTCGCATTGTCAAATCGTGGTTTTTACTGATTAACGGACAAAACGGACAAAACCAGGACCCACGTTGCAATGAACTGGAATTATTCTTTAAAGAAGACAGTGAGCAGGAGAAGTAGTCACTTGTGGGAAATGTATCATAATGTATAAGCTGAGTGCCTGATTCTGCAGCGAGCCCTGCAGTCTTCTACAACGCATCGGAAGTGTTTGCCAACAAAGCAGCTGCTGGTGCCGGAGCACAGTGGGGTAAAAGAAGCAGAAAACAGGATGAAAGCTTTGTTTCCGTAAGATAAAAGAATGATTTCATGTGCCTTCTTCCTTTCGCCATCGGGGCCCACACAGAAAACATCTATGCTAATTGGGACGCATCTTCCTCTCATTCTGGAACTGTGAATAATAATCCTATCCATTACTAATCTATTTCTCATTTAAATTCTTTATCATCAGTCAACACGGACTATAAAATAAAACTCGTTTGAACAGTAAGTATTGTGTATTGCTCCGTAGTACTCTGGTCGCACACTGGGAGCCACCGGGCGCGCTCAGCTTGACAGAAGCGACAACAACCACACTGAGGTTTCAACACAAATTAAGAGTATAATAGTATAATTCTAGTTCTCACGTCTATCTTTCCTTTTTCAAATAACATTGAATTGATTTGCTAACAACTTGTGGGACGTTCGGCTCAGAGTGAGCTGATCACACAACGATCACCCAGCTGGACACGTGATGCCTTGTGCTGATGAGTCATGGGGGCAGAGATAGACAAAGATTTATGCTTCGTCATCCCACACTTCCAGACTGCGACCATTTGGATGCATTCTCTGGAGGCAGGGCCCCTATTTTTTGGCCTAAGAGCAGCACTGACACTGATTTCTTTGATTATGTCATTCAAAATATATTTTTTTAATGGAAGCACCACATGACTTTTCCTTTGAAATAAAACAGCTAATTCTCTATTTGATCAATAAAGCATTTCTAACACAGTTATTAGAACAAATAAACAAATAAAAAATGTATCGTTGTTGCCTTGCTTGTCAATTAAGCGTTGCGCTTCAATGCTTCTTCTGTTGAGGAAAAACTTCGGAGCGCCCCCCCTCCCCAGAGAAGAAACAGGGTATTTAATCACCTGTATATTTGCCAAATCTTTTCATTGGCCTGGCATGAAGCAGCCTACTAAATGCCTTCTCTCGGATGTCATGTCCAAACATTATCAAATGATTCGGTCACTTCAATGTTTCATTTGTTGAAAGCAGGAACGACGATTAAATTCTTTGTATTTCGGTAAATTAGTTTGAAAATTGTGCATAAGCCAGAAACTGAACCCAAAACCAACGGGGGGAGGGGGGGGAGGGGTCGCCGTCATAAACCGAGGAAACTAAGGCGCACTTCATGTTCCCGGGCTGCCGGGGTCTCGGGAGGCTATTTGCCTCGGGGCTCCGGGGCCCCGGGATCGGATTCTCCCAGCACACAAGACCCATTCAAGCTCTGAGCTGTAGGATGGACAGAAAGGCCTCCACATGCTGCGCGCACGCACGCAAGCGCACACACACGCACGCACACACACACACACACACACACACACAGCCGAGTTTGCTGAGGTAAATGTGACCTTGTCTGACAGAAAGACGCATGTGTGATTGAAATTTGCCCCGATACCCAAGCTGTCAAAGGTCAAGGATTAGTATAGCTTTTAGCCTATGCATGTGTTTCAGAGAGCCCGGTGGCCCCGGTCAGCAGCGAGGATACGGAAACGCCTCAGCAGCAGTAATATGACAGGAGCAGTGCTGCAGCGGCAGGGCGGCCATGTCACCTTATCTTAAATAGAGTGGCGGGTAAAGTGACAAACTCCCACTTACGCGCTCTGCTAATCTATATATATACGAAATATATATGCAGCGAAGCAATGTGTCGGGAAGTTAGTTAGAGGTGGCGGTTTTATCGTAAAAGCTTCTTCTCTTTTCCTTTTCAATTTTTCCAGTTATGTGTGTCACCGTGATTAAGATCAGTTTCTTTTCAGATATGAGCTTGAGACTGATGGAAGCTCTTGGTGATCCAACGACAAGAGATGAGGATGAGAATGGCAACAAGCAGATTAAGAACAACGTTGTGAGACGATAATAAACCAGCTTGAAGCTCGTAACAAAGAAGAAACGGTTTAGGCTTCGTGTAATTGCAGCTGACACTGAATCTTGAATTGGAATAGGATTGGTGTAGGAGAAGAAATCTAATTGAAAGCGAGTGGAGGGTCGAGATTGTAACACAAACCCACTAAATGCTTAATTAACCCGTGTATAGTTAGAAGTTATGGTCTGCAGGATTAGAAGGGAGCTGCATGAGTTAAGAGAGGACAGGACGTGGAAGAAGGTTATCGATGGTCGGAGGAGGGTGAAATGGGTCGACAGGGCAAACAAGCAGCACGTACCGTATGCAGGAGCAGCTGCTGCAGCCGGGCTGTAGCCATACGGTGTCCCGAAGCCTGTTGGGCAAGAAGTTACAGCCTCTAATGCAATTGTTTAACTCCAGGCTGCATTTTTCAACATGTTGGTCATTCTGCACTCTAGCCAAAATAAATTTCTGAGTAGAAATAGAAAAAATGACTCACAGTTGTAGCTACCTGGCGTGACATATCCAGGTGCGGCCGCACTGACGAAGGCCCCTCTGGCGAGGGCTGCTCTTCCTCTCCCTCTGGCTACCTGAGCTGCTACTGCCGAAGCTGCTGCTGCCGCGGCCAGGGCCCCTTTAGTCTGGACACGGAAACAATATATGTGAGAAGCAAACATGCATAATGCAAAGGAACAAATCGATTGAAATATTTATGTCTGCATAGATATGGTGCACGGACATAAAGCACAAAACACACACACATATGTACATTTCCGTGTTCTGATGCTTTGATCCGCTCTGATCGGTCTCATTGTTCACAAATCAGTCAAAATTTGGCAAAATAAGTGGAAGACTGGTGATCTGGTGTCAAGTATTGTTCTGATTAGACACTTGACAGACGCACCGCCATTGATCACAGTTAAACATTAGAATCTTCAAAGCTGCACTGACAGGCCACAAGGACGACAATAACGGATCGGTCTGATTACATGTTCCGGTGAGTGAGTGTAAATTCCCCAAACTGAGACAGCGTGTGTAGCACGAGTGTGACTCGTCACCTGAGGCAATATCTTCTTTTTCTTGTTTGCAGCAGCGTTGGGACCAGAAAAGAGCTTATCCAGAGCTGCCAGAGCAGCACTGGCCTTTGCTACTTTTTTGTTGGGTCCCGCCCCTCGAAACTTCTGTCCGTCGACCTCCACCTGACGTGAACACACGGGGAATGTTAAATATCAATCACGACATATTTTTTGGTTGAGTTGGACAAAAGGAACACATTGCATTTTGGGCATCTGGTGAAGAAAAAAAAAAAGGATATATTTTTAATTATAAGCGCTAATTGCTTTAAGCAAATTCACAATTTATGTTGCAGCTCCGTCAAAACTACCAACACCACAATTATTACCACCAAAACGTTTATCAGTCATCAGTGAGTCAGGCAGCGAGTCTGGCTTAACAGGACGGCTTGTTTAGCAGTGCCCTGCTGTCAAGTAGGCCTGCTAATCAATCAGCAGAGCGATGGAGCAGCCAGGCGTGTCGGAAAACAACTCACCCCGCAGAGAACAGGCCTGCTCCAGGAACCAAGCTGACTGATTGACGTTACCGGCTTTCAGCCTGTTTCCGAGCGCGCGTGTGTGCGTGCATGTATGTGTGTGTGTGCGCGTGTGTGTGGCTTAGCCTCTGTGTTTCTCCTCTTGGCTAAAACGCATGTGTATTGTGAAATAGTATTCTGCATTATCAGGGTTAAATATCATGGCTCCACGATCTGTCACATGTTTTAGACTGTGCGTGTGTGTGTGTGTGTGTGTGTGTCTGTGTGTGTGTGTGTGTGTGTGTGTGTGTGTGTGTAAGCTTTCACCTCCATAACGAAGCGTTTGTCGTGACTGCCTCCACTTTCAGAGATGAGTTCGTATTTGAGGCCTCGTCTCTTTTCGTTTAGCTCCATGACGGGGTTCTTCCCACTCGCTGTCAGTATGGGACCCTGAGTTCGCACCTGGAGAGTGAAAAGATTATTTAAGCAATTATTAAAACATCTTAGATATTATAGTAGAAAGCATATCTTTTATCTCCTTAAACCAATGAGAATGTGACATTTTAAACACCAATAGTTTCGGACTACGACTCAAAAGGATTTGCGTATCAGCACACATTTCTCAATCCTCACCTCCAGTGTGTTGGAACCGTCCGTCGAGTGCGTTGGGTTATTGCTTGTGTGTGAAGACGTCTCGCTCTTCCCCTCACCATCCGACTTCTCGTCTGAGCTCATGGGATCCAGGTCTGAGTCGAAACCTGTCGGGTAGCCCATCGCCTGCAGAACCTGGAGAGGGAAGATGATGTCATAAAGGGGGGAAAAGAGGTTGTGAGGACAGCAGACAAATTAACCAAAGCCTAGATTGTTTCCTCCTCACCTTGACAGCGACGTGGAGCTTTGCGGTCTTCTTGGACGATCCAGACGCTTCATAGATGGTTCCATCCAGATCCACAGACATGGTGAAGACCGGCGCGTGAACCGGGCCCGACTGGGACAGCAGGCGGTACTGCAGCCCCGGCCGTATCTGGTTCAACCGCATCAGGGCGTTCATTGGCTGGTTGGAGTCTATGGCTTTACTGTCCAGGACTAATGCAAAAAAAATAAAAAATAAAAAAGAGGAGGCATATGGTTAGAGTAAAAAGAAAAGCCTATTAGGAAAGATTTAATAAGGTCTTGTAGGGGGTGAACCAATTATTCAGCCAAAATTGGACAAACTGCAGCCAATTCAGAGATACTGCACGTTATAAATCACATTTTCTAAGAAGGTTTCCAGGACACTCGCCGGTTGTTTTCATGATCAATAGAAGATGCCTCTCTATTTACGTTTTTTTTTTCAATCAATTTTGTTGTATTTGCCAATATCTAAAAATGCCTCTCTGTCTCCATTAGGCGCCGATCTACTTATCCTCGTATGAAGAAAGAGCCGAGGATGGTTGGGTGGCCAACTAAAACGTTAGCAATCCATACTATTGATCTGCCTCAGAGGGATGAAAGGAATGTGGAGAGATGCAGACGGGAAAACAAAAGATACAATGCTTGTCTGCACACAGAATGTGACTACTTCCACCTCAAAGCATTGTGTCGCTTTATTTTTACTGGTTAGAATGAAAATAAAGTGTACAATCATTCTTCCCTCTCTTACCTTTTCTAAGATTTCTCTTCATCTTCTTGATGAGATCCTTGTCGTCCATCGCTCCATCCTCGTATGGCCTCTTCAGACCCAAGCCTGAGAGAGAGATTCAAATCAATAATTGACTACAAGAGACGCTAATATCAACGCAAACAGAGGCACGGATGTGTGACAGAAGAGAAAGGGAGGCTGAGGCCCAGAAAAAAAGGAATACGTGAGAAGAAGCATTAAGATGGATTGAAAAAAACAGACAAGATAAACATAATAAACGGAAAAAGTCAAACAATGGGAAGAAACATTCAAACTTCTTTCTTTCATGTACCTTGAATCAATTTTACATGAAAGTCGCCTTGAAGTGCGGCAAAAAAAAATGTACTGTATGTTTTGGAGGAACATTGAAGAAAAAAATTAAGAAGCTTGAGAAAGTTCAACATCATATTTTTGTGGTGCTTTGCACGTCAGCAATAATGACAGCGCTGTCATCGCCAAAGTGTAGAAAAAAAACATCAAATGCATCCAGAAAGGTCACGTCCTGCGTGAAAACATTTGACGGGAGGTCTGACCTACGACCCAAAGCCGTATGCTTGACTGCTGTAGGTTCCATGTAATATAGACAGACTGACGAAAACGCATTTTCACAGACGGATAAAAAGCAAAAAGTGGTAGCATTCGTACAAGTAATCAGGCGCTGACAAGGACAGGAAGACAAACATGTGGAGGACATTTTGCACAGAAGACGGAGATGCACAGGGTGAGAGTAGACTGATCAGGCATGTGGACACACCTTCTTTATCAGACCAAGGATATTTCTGCGATGGTTTATTTGAGGCAAGAGGCTCCATCTCCAACACCTTGTAGATCTGTCCGAACGCCATGAGTCTGAGAGCATGCTGTTGGATGTAAAAACACACACCAAATAAGAAAAGATGGATTCAAACTTGAGCGTATGGAGATTGATACTGAAATAATTTGCTCTTCTTATACTGCCATAGAGGAAATCTAGTACTGCACTTAACTGAAGGTAAGATAAGGCTAATTTATGGTTTGCTTCTTACACTTTCCTGCCTCTTAAATGCCCACTTTCAGTTAAGTCAGTAAAGCTGTCATAACAGACCAATGCAAAATTAATACCCAGCAATTTGCTACATTCATTCAAGATTTATAGAATATTTGTGCTTACATAGTTTGGTTATACAATAGACTAGTCGAATCCCTCATATTCTTTTTGTTCTCCAATTCCGTTTTAGCATTTTTATTAAAATATGGGAGTATTATAAACATGTGTGTGTGCGTTAATCCATAATTCTCATTAAGGAGGTAGAGTGCCTGGGATATTCATGAGGCTCGGTGTAGCTCATTGACAGAACAGCTCCGTCTCTAATATCTGCTCTTGTATCTGCTCCAACACAATTATCCCCATTGACATTCCAGCCTCGTTCAGGCTGCCTTCAAAGGAAATGGACGGCAGGATTCACTAAGCCATGCGGCTCAGAGGCTGCCCTGCTCAGTCGAGTGTGTGTGTGTGTGTGTGTGTGTGTGAGAGTGTGAGAGAGTGTGTGTGTCTGAAGAAGGAAATGGCGGCACGCACACGCCAAAAGTGCATGCACGCAAATACTGTCCTCGGGGTGTCAGAAATGGATTTATGGCTTACAATGGCAATGGTTTCCCACACCAATCATTAAAATGCAGCGCCACATCTTTCTAGAGAAGCACATGCACTCTTACACAAGTGTGTGTGTGTGTGTGTGTGTGTGTGTGCGTGCATGCAAATTGTGTGGTTAGGGTGGTGATGGGGTCATTCCGTCTCGTAATAGGCGTATTGCTTACAGATTCCCACACACTGACAGCTCAAGGCAAGTGCAGCTGGATGATAACAACTTTATCTTTAAGCTGACACGTGTGTGTGTGTGTGTGTGTGTGTGTTCGTACCTGTGCACGGTAGGTAATGTCCTCAGCCTGCTCGTTGGTCATGTTGTCGAGTGTGTTTGTTGACTCTTTCTCACATGGGTCGTGTAAACCTGGACCACCTTGGAGACACAGAACAAATATAATGCACAAAAATAATAATTAAGCGGAAACTTCCCATTTTGAGTGCTACAAAAAAAAAACAATGGGTGGCTCGCGCTCTTCTTTCAGCACAGAGACGGAAATTACCGGTTAAATTCATCCGGACGTCCAACGCGAAGAGGACCCCCCCAATTGAAGAAAAAGGGGAATCTGTTTTGCGGTACTGTTTTTCTGTGTCTGTTTCTAAGATTAATTTGATCACTCGCATTCTTTTTTTACTTGAATCATTTTATGTTTTTGCTAATTTGTGTTGTTTATTTTTTATTATGTACGTGTGGTTCACAAGGCGTATGTATGTATGTTTGCAATTGCATCTGTAATTCCTTCATTTACTGACACTGCAGCTCTGCAACATATTATTAGGCCATGAAACAAGGATATCTTGTCATATTGGACAACAGCAGCTATCAGCAAAAGTAGCCAGTGAAGTATTTAAACCAGTCACTAAAGTCCTCATCCTCAAAATGTTCTAATCCATAATATTCTCCTGCATGTTTTCACTGTCAATTAAATTGAGATTTATATACACTGTTCTATCTTCTTTTAAAATACATCCATCATATCTTCAGCACTCACATTTCTGAAATCAAGTCAAAGGACCCTTCGTTTGGACGCTGTTTGAGTGCACAATATGAAAGAAACCATGCGGCTACTCCTAATTAAGAAGCTCTCATAATAATGAACTTCCTCAGACAGCTGCGCTCTGCTGGGTCGCTGATAACGCGGCGAGCTCTCAGCGAGTAGCCGCTCAGCAACGCTCCGAGCAGAGCTCCTCTCACCCAAACCTAGCATCTTCCCTCGCTACGCTCACCTGCGCTGCCAATTTCCAGGGAAACGCACGTGCTCCTCTGGCCATTTCCTCACCATTTCCAGAGCGTGCGTCTATTCACATATCCACCGTGGACACGTACCTGGTAGCAGTATTCCCGAGGCCAGGCACTCCATGACTCGACGCAGGGCTTCTCCGGCCCCGAGAGGTCTGTTGCAGGTGGCGATTGCCTTCTCGCAGATGAGCTCTAAGGGCTGGAAGGATATAAAGATAGAACGTTCTACACTACTTCAAGAACCAGAACATCTTCCATCTGTTGCGTGAATCATATGGACGCACACTAATATATATATATATATATATATATATATATATATATACAGCAGTTTCCTCACAAACATGATTTAGCTTCCTCGCTAACAAAATCAGATATCAATGACAGCCTGTTTTCTTCAGCACACCCGGTTCAGTAATGGATGAGGTTGAAGAACAACTCTTTAGATTTCAATAAAAATAGGAAGCTCCCGTCACCACAGGGCGATTAAGTGTATTGTGACAAACATCATAAAAATGAAAGGAAGTTCAAGGGGGACTGATAAACATCTTTTTATTTAATGGGATTGACACTGAAACAGATGTAGCTGCAGCAAAAGACTCACCCATCCCTTGAGAGGTTCCCAGACGGGGTGTCTATTGCACATGTCCCTAAGTATCCTGAGAACGATAACGCAGGACTTGAGCCCGTTCACTCGAGCCTGAGAGAGATCGAGCGATCGGGGGGGAAGGAGTAGGAGAGGTGGAGGGATGCAAGAAGGGAAATTTAACAGAAAGAGGGAGGAAGGTAACACATTGAGAGCAGGAGGAGTAGTATTTGTGCAAACACATACAAACGGCCTGCTTCACACGTACAAAGCCACGTACTCAAGTGATCAAAATCCCCACAGAGAATGAATATCCTCAGCGCTGAAGTCACTGAACATTTAGATTTGGTTCAGCAATCATGGTTTACTAAAGATATTCCTTTCAAATAACAGAAAATCGATGTTGTGAGTAAGGTAAGTGAGTTGGGGGATGGGGAGAGGTATGGGAGGGGGGTCAAAGGGAAGCACTGACGTACTGTACAGAGCAGGCAGGTTCACATGATAGACAAAAAGAAAAACAAGGATTAATCATTGCTTTTGTAGCCTTACGATTCTTACTACATTCATCTATTTATTATAAAAAGTATTTATATATCGTGTAATATTTGTTCTCGACGCTAAAAAACAATCTTGCTAACTAAACTGGTTTGTTAGCCATGTTGCCGTAACAACTTTAACACAACTCGGAATGATTCTAAACTAAAACTGATGTTTCAATACTTTAATCTCTTCTAGAGGAGTCCGATCTGATAATTGGCTACACGGCGCTGTTTGACCTCCGGGTGAATCGTCAGGCTACAACAAGCATCGGGCAGGAAGACAGGAAGTGAGTGGGTGCCGACCTGGAACCACTTGGCGTGTCGCAGCGCTGCCAGGGCCAACAGACATCTGTGTCTATCCAGCACCTCCCCCTCCTCCTCCTCCTCCTCCTCCTCAGCCTCCACTCTCTGCGCAGCAGCACCCAACACTGCCACAAAACAATAACAACCCAATGTAGAGAACGTAAAACACACACACGTCATGTCTGAGTGTGTGTGTTTGAACTGTGCATGCGCGAATGTGTGCAGACACACTTGGTATGGAGTGTGAAGGCACACATACACGCACACATGCATGGATATTTTGGTACATATAAGGTGCTTTTCATGCCATAAAGTCGTGCCCCCTCCTTGTAGGAAGCGCAGACTCTGTACAGGTCGCAGATCCGTGATGAATGAAACAGAAAAAACGCCTCGCTCTATAGAACGGTGTTTCATTTTCAACGCTGTCATCGGTCCAACATGCGTTAACTGCATCACATGTCGAAATCTTCAACACAAAGTAATGCAGGGTGCACCGCCCCCCCCCCTCCCCGTATGCACGTGTTGAAAATGAAACACACTATTCAACGGTGATTAAGTCGTTTTCATCGATCCGGCCACCGACCGAACAGTGCAAGTGAGAGCAACCGGGATCATGAGGGAAGAGGCAGCTTTTTGGGATGGAGAGCCCCCCAAAGACATACACCAGACAAATACCTAAGGGGTGTTTGATTTAATGTGTGGGCATTGTTGGGACACGTCCACTCGTTTCGCTGTGCCCAGCAGTGTAAATCAAGCTCCCCCTTTATGTATTTGAGAAGGATTTCATTCATTTTGATCCAATTGGCGCCAAGCAGGAGTCAAAATAGAAGTTTATTTTTCATCTGGATTACTTAGGGTGCACTTGATTTCACAGGCCAAAAGAAACATTTTGCAGAGAAAACAAAATCAACCCCCTGCCTGGGACAACACAAAATCAAGCGCTCCTAAAGTAGAACTGAAAAGGAAAAACAAAAAAAGAGAAAAACAGCTAAAATAGTTTGACCCAGTCTCAGACAAACAACACAGGAGGGATCCAGGCAGGGTTTAGTTGGAGCATCGGGTTGGTAAAAGGAAGAGCATTTCTGCGCTCCTATATGTAAGCGTTTGATTCATGCCGCTGAGCACACCATGATGCTTGATTTCACCAATTCTGCTACTTTTAATAGTCAGGATATCTGATGTGCAAGGCAAGCTGAATCAAACGCAGCTGTGTATGAATGAGTGCGGTTACATGGGTTTCTGAAGAGGGTTCACTGTGTGCGAGACCTAGTGGAAGTGACATAAAACACCGCAAAGACCCCCTTGGGTCTCTATGAAAACCTATGACTAGGTAAATACTTTCTGAATCACTCTCCCGTGAAAAGACAATCCTTCCCTGAAGAAATATTAAGTCGAAATGTCAAATGTGTGCAGAAGCTCAGATCTATCCCTGAACTCGGCCGTTTAGCATTGCAGCGCGGCTCTTCCTCCGTCTATTGCGTGTGTGCGTCTTGTTTGTGACGGTGTATCTAAAGGTTGGTCAGCATGTGCAACCTCTCAGCCGCTGGAGGATCATTATAGTGTTTCTCCTCTCGCTTGCTCGCCCTCCCACTGCTCTCTTAAACGCTCTGCTGGCTGAACCCTCATCTAAGCGCTCTCATTTTAGCATTACCTCCTTCTGTGGCTCTTTTAGTCCGATTAAGACAATTGTCTCCACACAGCACCCTCCCTTCCTCTGTGACTCCACGAAGCGGCGACTTGACCTAAATTACATTCAATCCAATAATAAACTAGTATTTTGTTACATGTATGCAAGTGACCACAATTTATTCAGGGTAGCAAAAACGCGGCAAATAAAATTAACACACACTAAATTAAATCAATGTATTGATTGCCTGACATCAAATCAGAAAGCATTATTGATCAAAGCATTTAAATAGCACATAGTGCTTTCAACCCTATTGACTGTGTGCACCATGCTGTTGCACAGGAGCCTGAGTGTCTTTCACAAATAGATGAAACACTCTGGAAATACATTGCTAATGAAGTTCTGAGAACGACCCGGGCGGCCTCGGCTGTAAGAGCCCGAGCAGGCGCTAACGCTGGACAGCGCCGCTGCTATCTGCGCCTATCATTGCACGCGTTAACGTGTAAAAGTATTACACGCCGCCTTTTTTAAGAGGTGCTTAGGCAGAGGCATCTCTGTCGCTCAGGTGCAAAACGGGGCCGTGCGTGCTCTCGCTCTTTGAGAGAAAAACACAAGCGCGCCACTCCGTCTTGCCGGGGGCTCGTGGCGTGATGTACAGCCAACCTGCGCGCTATCCCTCATCTCTCTCTGAGAGCCGAGTGTCTCGTTGGACGGCGGCCACGGGATGGATGAGCAGCTCGCTACTGCGGCGTTATTGATTTTGCCGGCCCGCTGGCCTCGCCGACCCACAACCACTTATAATCAGTCCCTGCTACAGGGGGGGGGGGGGGGCTTCGGCGCTCGTCTGCAGCCTGGAGCCGCCTTGTCACGTGTCATTAGGTTGTGGAGTCATACTTCTTGTTAGAGGGAAATAAAACTGTACTATAATACACACAAATATGTTCTAAAAGGAAATGATGGGATGTGTAACAAGAAGTAGGGAAAAACTGCAACTTGAGGGTTCCTACCTCGCACAGTCGGCTTCTCCTGCTCCTCCTTTTCATCACCCACTTCCTCCTCTTTCTCCTGTTCCTCCTCCTCCTGTCTGTCCTCCCCATTCGCCAACTCCTCCTCTTCCCCCCCCTCCTCCTCCTCCTCCACCACCTCCTCTTCTTCCTCCTCTTCCTCCTCTTCTTCTTCTTCTTCCCTCATAGTCGGCGAGGTGAGGGTAATCGTCAGCGTGAGCTTAGGCTCCGTTGTGGTTCGTACCAAGATGGCCGCCTCGGGCGAGGAGCTTGTGACGTCATATTTCTCTTCTGTCAGCTTCTGTCACGTGTCAAACAAACATAACGAGATGGTCAGAGCGCATAAGGACACAGCGGGACTGCATGCAGACAAAAATGAAAAAGGCTGCTTCGAGATGCTGCCACACCATGACCTGGTACGACAGCGATATCAAACCAGTCATTGCAGACACTCGTGGCTATTTCGGTCTCCAAGAGGTGACTGATGTCTTGATTTAAAGCAGGATTTTGAAATGTGAGAAGCATCAAACTCGATTGTTCACACATGATAATTGGCACAGACCTGATTTGAAAGTCACATCCATCTTGATTTCCCTCGTGACAACAGGCAAATGAACAAAGGGCCCTAAATCACAACTGTGAAATGCATGCAATTCAACTAAAAGCATTAATGTGTATTGTGAACCCTCTTAATATTTCTGACACATCCTGAGCGTGTGTGTCTGCCTATTTCATTTTCCAGTGTCACACCTCCATTTGATGAATTTACCCACACGCCACGCTTCATTCCGCTCGCGTTCTGGAGGAATTAATTACTGCTGACCTGTGGTTACGACTGTGCCGGTGAAAATGAGGTCATGTCATACTGCCACTCACACGATACTAAATACAGTCATGCCTTTGAGCACACATGTGACTTCATACAAGAATGGAGGCGATAACAATAACGACAAAAAGACCTGCAGTCTCGCCCACTAAAGAAAAATGATCACACAACGACCCGAACACTTTAGCTCGGCAAAAAAGACCCACAAAACCATAAACTGTTCTGACCGACTATAAATATTCAATAAATTAGTTCAGTCTCAGCAGGAAAGAATGACGACAATATGCATTATTTGTGCATTTGTTGTGTATTGTGGGGGTCAGTGTATTTAGCATTTGTTTATCATGACTTGTTAATGAGCAAACCAAACACAGAGGCAGTGACCAGAGCATGAATCACACACGCGTACTAAAACTCCTCTCAGTTTCACATTTAAAGACAAAGCTTCTCTGTGCACTTACACGTGAACTGTTATGAACACACACACACACACACACACACACACACACACACACACACACACACACAGCAGTGAGAGTTGCCAAATCCAAGTAGACGCAGATCAATAAAATGTGGAAGCGTATCCAAAAAGCTTAATTTCTGACGTAAGAGAGGACAAATAGAGCTTTTTGGAATATATTTGGATGACAACGATTGAAGGTTTGATGCCAGGCTGAGGCAGCGTGTGCGTGCAGGTCAGCAGCAGGTCAGCGAGTGCGTGTGAGAAAAAAATGAGAGACTTTAACAGCAGGAGTATGCGCCCGTATGCGTGCTTGTAAGTGCGTTTCTAACCTCTATCTGTGTGGGCAAATTGTGACAGACAGTGTCCAGCAGCGTCTGTGTGGGTTTGTCTTTGCACAGCAGCACCAGCTCCAGGTCCATGTCGCCTTTGATCAGGAGGCCTTTGGCCACGAGGCCGATCCTCATCACTCCGCACAGCGCGGCGCCGCTGCTGGGCTCTCTGTTGTTAAAAGAAAAGCAGACGACAGATTCTTATCTCTTGTGGTTTTTAACGAGGAGGACGCACGCGTCTGTGTTTGCTCGCACAGGGAACCAAATAATACAAAAATCCCAACGAAAAATAACTCGATGGTGTATACATTTAAAACAAATGCGTTTATAGAAACGTTTCAGACACCTTTAATCAGACATACCACTAAATATCCCTATCTTGATAAACAGATTACAATACATGGCTCCCGTTGAGATTGCAAAATAAGATCCGACGAGGCAACTGGAGACATAAAAGAGAACAAACACTCAATAAAACGATTCACAAAGATTGTGTCCAAAGTTCATCACGAGGTTTTAAGCTCCTCACACTTCCTGCAGCTGCATGTTCCTCTGCTGTTCATCTTAAGACTTCAATGAGCACATTTGCCAAGAGGTTGACCTATTCCTTAAGAGGAATAACCGATCCATTTATCATAAAATACATCATTGAGTTAACAGTTTTTCCACTGCCCCCACCTGTAGCTGTCAGCGCAATCCTCCGTTTCATTGCCGGGCTCGTTGCCAATTTCGTCCGCCTCCTTGCTGTCTGCTGGTTGGCCGTCGGCCTGGCTTTGGGCGTTGCTGCTGCTCTGATCCAGCCAATCAGAGACGTGTTTGAGGGCGCACTCGACGGTGGACACCAGCGTCTGAACGGCTTCCAGCTCGTGAGAGGAGGGGTAGATGGTGGAGTGTTTAGCCATGACGTGGCGGTCGTCGTTACTGAAGGAACGGAAGGACCTCTGAAAAGAAGCGACGAATGAGGTGTTGGTTATCAATTCTAGTACATTACGACGGGACAAACCCAAAATGCAGACACGGACACAGAACAGTGTTTTCAACAACGGATTGAGCTTTAATCAATCAGGTTTTGGTTTCCACTTGGACCTGAATGCTTTCTCACACACACACACACACACAAATGCCCAACAACAAACTAATCCACACTTACTGTCCCACCAAGCATGAATAAAAATAGATTTTGTGGGTGCTGTTTCCATGCAGACTGGACTTTTTTTTTTATGGGAAAGTAATCAATTTCAACTCTGTGACAGCTTCCATTTAAGGCCCTGACCCTGACAAACGTGCTCACACAGCTATCAGAAACTCATCCGACCGCCACCCGCGTGTCCTCTCCACCGGGCCACGCGAGTCCCTCAGACATTCTGGCCTCGGGAATTTATGTCAGCCGCCTTTGGTCTTTCTCATTTTCTCCTTCCCACGGTCTGGGAGTTATATGGAGGGAGGCACTGGAAGGAGATCAGGTGGGAGGCGACAGATGGGGGGTGACACAAAGGAGAGCAAAGGACAAGACCTTCCACGTGAACCACGGAGGAGGAGAAGGAACGACGGCTGAGGAGGGATGTGGGAGATGATGAAATTGTTGATGAGGGGGAAGCTGAGTTCACAGACGAATGGAAAAAGTAAAGAGCAGCAGGTGCAGCTCCGGCTTTTGGGATTTGCACTCTGCAATTATTACCACCCAGGTGGGTCCTTGTTAATTTATATGAACACATGTAAATGATATATCAGCTGTGTTCACTTTCAACGTGTCACAGGATTTCAGGTCTATGTAATCATATGAGCATTAACTATAAACTAATAATTAAAGCAGAACTGAACTTAAGTGGCCATGTAGAGAAATGCTAATGGAATAACCCTTAATATAGCATAATTACATTGCATTTTAAACAGTTATTAAAGTGTAATATTTGCAGCAAAAGACGTAATGCAAATAATCTGGGGAAACTGCATAATTACCACACGCAAATAATACAACTGATGAGGAATACAGAGTATATACACACATAGATTTGTTGTTACAACACATCATTTCTTATTAAATTCCCAAATTTCAGTTTCTTTGTAACTTGTTGTTACCACAATAGTTCAACACCTTCATACCTCCTTTCTCTATTTTCCTCTCTCAGAGACGTCATATGTAAAGGAAACAATTAAGATTGCAAATGATTTAGGTCAATTTGGTTATATACATCTGAAGGGTGCGGTTCATCTTGAATCATTAGAGGTTGTTGCGCTGTGCCGGAGCGCCAGAGGTACGTAACCCAATTTAACACAAGTAGGCTGCTCTCAACAAGCTGCTTATCCGCAAGAGCCACATTTCCCTTTATTCACTGCTCAGATCTACTCAGAGAGAACCGCACGCCAGGCATGCTAATTGACTCTCACACACACACACACACACACACACACACACACACACACACACACACACACACACACGAGGAGCTTTTTTGTTGTAGCATGGATCGTGTAGCATGAGCGCTACTATCCATCTGATTGTAATCCAAGGACCAACTGTGCACACTTGTGCACACCCACACACACGCGCTTTTCATCCGATTCCTAATTGAACTGGTGACATTGACATTCTCTTTCTCCAGATTGAGTTGGATAAAGCTATTAACAGAACGGAGGACAAGCACTGTACAATAACCGCAGCCTCACAGCTTGTGTAGCCCAGCGTGCACGTTAAACGTGGCACTCTGGACTCTTTGTTCTGGACTCAACCGGCGATGGTGAATTTTTGGCACAGTGACATCGAGGGGAATTTTGATACAAGGGCAGAACGTGGCGTAACGTTATCTGTGCCGGTCTTCATTTTGCTACAATCAATACTTTAAAAATGTTCCGTGTGAGTTGGAATGAGGCAGCATTCATCCTTCACAGGGATCCCGCAGGCATCAGGATGAAAGAAGTGCGGCTAAATGTGCATCTCTACACTTGTGTGCGTATTAGAGCAGTGTTTAACACACCGGCAGTCGCAGGTTTTATGAGCCGTTGCTAATGTGAGCATCTGCAGCCATAAACCACATTAGGAACAGAGCGTCGATGTATCTGTGTGTGTGTGTGTGTTTGTGCATGTCTCGGTATTACTCTAGCGTGGGGGAGTTCTCGCCGAGGCGCTCTGATCACCACGTAAATCACAGCAGTAAAGGAGGACTCACTGACAGGAATCGACCCCCGAGGCCAGCGTGTGTCCAGATAACGTGGCAGACATTTAGACAAGTGAAACGATAACCGTGGTGTTACTGGGTGCAGGGTTTCAGGGTTTCTCGCTGGTTTTGGAGTGATGTCATGGTTGACTGCCAAAAACGTTCAACCAAAATTAAACCAAACCAAAAAACACAATACGTCTGAAACGCAGTGTGGCGCTCAGAGAAACGGCCATCAGGGCATCTGCACAACCCGATTAAAAGACCCACGCTCAGTCGGCTAGAGGAAACACCGGGGTTGTCCTTGAATCCATCTCGACCGCCACATAACCCAGAGGTCAATCACACAATATGTCCCCCTGTCCAAGTGAGCGATGCGCGGGCGTGCGATTACGGTGGGAATCAATCACGGATCTCTTTCCAGATGCCTGTAACAACCCCCGGTGTCACTAACCAACTAAAATAAAACGGTGCAGCTTCAGCACGTTGACCTGGAGCTTATCCTTGGAAAGCCAAAAATGCAGTTCAGGTAAAATGAATTCTCCCATCTCCACAAATTAGTCGGCTTTCAACAACAATTTACCTTTTTAGATTTTATGTATTTGGAGTTTTAGCGGAAACGTTATGTGCATCTTCAAAGCAAATTCTTTCTCTAAAAGCTCAGAAACTGACCCCCTTGTAAAGGGCCAAATATGAATAATATAGAATCTGTAAAACGTCCTCAAGGGAATCTGTTGCTTACGATTCTTCCCTTCTAGGAACCAGAAGCAGAAACGTATGCATACTACTGTTAAATCCCATATGTCTGTAAGCCACCGGCGCCCATCATGCACTGCGCACACTCGAATGCCGTCGCTGCATAGTGCTCCCAGACCACACACACACTCACCAATTACACTCCATTTCATGGTCCAGCGGGGCCGACACTGGCAGGCCCAGGATGCATAACCGCGTTACACAGCATTTACAAGCCGCTGCGCACTAAATACCAGTCCTGAACACGTGTTGCCAAAAAAGAAATGAAGAAATCTAATGTTTGTCACTTAAAAAGAAAAATGATGAATGGCCAAAAAGCGATATATTACCCACACGCGACTACGTCCACCACCCCCGACCCTCACGATGTGCTATGCGGCCTGAAATGGAAGCATTTCAGCTGGAGGTGTTGCGGTCAGACAAGCAAACGAGCAGCAGCAAGGACGTCATCTAGAAGCAGCCGAATCCCACGATCCTCCTCTACGTGGCTGCAGGTGGATCCTGTGTCATTCTCCCTCTCTCTATGTCACCATCTGCTAAAATGTACCTGACCCAATGCCAAAGACTTACTCTCTGGAACAAAAGCACCTGTGATGGGATTTCATACAATTTTTTTCCCCCTCAGTCCTCTATCCTCTTTGGGCGTTATGAGTGCGCGCGAAGGCCGTGCACCTGCGACGTTAGTGTGCTTCTATGTTTAAAGTTATGTGCCTAAAGTTCCTACCGAATGCTTGGAAGACAACACACACCACCGGGTGGTTGTGAAGAGAGACAGAGATGAAGGAGAGGAGGAGAGAGAAAGCCTCGTAGAGCTCGACAGAAGAGAGATGCAGGGAGATAAAGACACCTGGATTTGTATATTTTTAGCCGGTTGCACTGAAGCTGACACATCCTCATTGTAAAAATACACCGATCCCCACTCATGAATACCACGCAAAACTTTTGCAGGCAAAATGTCACACAAAAAAGGTGAAAATCTCCCCCCAAAAAACTCACTGAACAGGCACAGAATGATGGAATAAGCACAAATAAAACTGCAACATCCAGCAGGGGAGATTACATTAAAGATTCATCCCGTGATTAATCTGCACTTTGCCGGCGTTGACAGACTCCGCTGTCCTGTTTTATTGGGGGTCTGTCTCTCGCTCCGTCATCCAAATTATCACGTGTGTTTGGTTGCTTCAGGAGGGTAAACACACGTAAACATATATATGAATAAACAACAAAATAAACCGGTTCTTTGATTAAAAAAAAGGATACAGGGAGATACGCAAAATACGCAGCCCGTCATGTTTCCCCGCGGACGACATCCAATGGAAATGTGCCGTCATCAATCACGCTTATTAAGCAGCCAGCCAAAACTACAGGACGCGGCCCACCAAGAACTAAAGGAGAGAGTTTCTGTTCGTCGCCCTTTGCCCCCCTTCAATGTGTCGGCAGGATTTTTAAGGTTTATGGTCTGCGTATAAAATATAATGAGCGGAGCCCTAAAAGCGAATGAGCTGACCGTACTGTGTTTCTAGGCATGTTATTACAGTAATGTGTGCGGCGGCCATGTCTACAGGCCGGCAACACTGGAACACAATGAAATAGTTTTCTCTGTTTTGGTTATGTCTTATAGCAGTTGTGCATCAAAGACATTTTACATTCAACGTGATATGAGAAGCAAAACTGAATCCACAAAATTGGTAAAACTTTTCCGCTTGGCAACATCCACCTCCAGACGCGGAGCGGTGCACTAACGATGGTGCGCACAAGTCCGGAGCTATACAACGTGGCAGACTGTTACCAAATAAGGAAGCCAAAATGTATGTGTGTGTGTGTGTGTGTGTGTGTGTGTGTGTGTGTGTGTGTGTGTGTGTGTGTGTGTGTGTGTGTGTGTTTGTGGAGGGAATGAAGAAGCAGCAAAGCACTGGCATGTAAATCCATTAAATGCAGAAGAGGAGGAGGAACGTCAATAAGGAATCTGTTTGGTGTATCGTTCGGTTTGCGCGGTGACACCCTCGCCAAGGTCACCCGCAGTATTTGCTGCATCACCATAACTCAAGACTAAATCACACTACTGTGTTTGCAAGCTGCCAACACACACACACACACACAGACACACTAATCTCATTACCCTTGGTTATTTATGAGCTCCACCATGTGCCCTCTTCTGCAGTGTCCAACCTCAGCAACATCAGCAACATCTTGTTCCTTCTCAATCATTCATTTTCTCCCCTTTTTCTCCCCCCTCCATTCTTCCCCTGCCAACCACCATCTCACACGCTCTCCTTTTTCGGCTCATTTTTTCCTCCTTGCACCTCTTGTTCTAGTTTTTTAATAATTCATCTTTTGCTCTGCTTGCACCACCCAACCCCCTATGGGAAAAGCTCCCGGCGTCACAGGCCAAGAGCATTAATCAATCCCTCGTCTCTCTCCCTCTCTCCTCTCACCTCTCTCCCCCACTCTTCTCTTCTCTTTATGCTTCTCATATCCTGTGCGCTTTTCAACTGTCATGGTTCTGTCCATCATTTACGTTTTTTACGGTCTCATCTGCCCCCCTCCCCCTGTCGTTTCGTCTTTGATCTTTTCATACCTCCTCCCCTCGTCCTTAACAACACGCTGGCTCTTTTTCTGCATCTTTCTTCCGCCAGTAACACGTCTCTGGTGCCAAGGAACAAGCCTAACTTTCATATTTTCTTATTTAACCGGTTTGACACATTTGTTCCTTGCATGATTACTCAACAATGCGAATGTACGCTTATGGCGGAAAAGATAGTCTTTGCCATCGCAATCAAAATCACCAGAAAAAGCATCTTAAAAACCGACAAGCGGGCAAAAGTAATTAGACTGATTGTTGTTGTTTTTTGCTTGTTCTTAACACCACTGTCCTCTTCAGTTTCCTCTCACCGTTTTTCATCTCCGTCTCCTCCTCTCCTTTACTCTTCTCCTCTTTCACTGATGTCAGCATGCATCCCGTATACAAATCTACACAATCTCTTATCAGGCTGCAGCTCTTACCCCCTCCAGTCTCCAGAGTGTTTCCTTACTCCCTACAGCAGCCAAGCAAACAACCCCCCCACACAGACACACACACACACACACCAGAACCTGGAGACAGGCAGCGTATTACCATGGCTGCAGGAGGAGTGGTGACACGTTTCCTTCCTTCTGACACCCCGCTTCTGGAGTTGCTGTGCTCGCAATGGGGGGGGAGGCCTGGGTGGGGGAGGTGAGGGGGGGGGAGGGAGGGTGGGTGCAGAAGCAAGGTCGCCGGTCAGGAGGTTGCTGTCGCGCCGTTTACGTTCCTCATGTGCTCCTCTGCTCCTCAGCCCACCACTCTACGACCGGCACTGCTTCTAAAAAGAAGAAGAAACAGACACGGAGAGAAAGGATGAAAGTTTGAACCTGCATCAACAACAGCGACATGAGGGCGAGTGGCGCGCCAGTTGACTCCCACACGGGCTGCAAGCAGGGTCACAGTCCCCGGCCTTGAGTAGAAGATCTGACAGAATGGTTGATCAACCCATGTGGGGAGAGACATGTGGACGGACGCACACACTCACGTACGCAGGGACGCACGCACACACACTCATTCATTCATTCATTTTTCATGAGCTTGCAGGGGTCTGGGGGAGGGGGATGTAATACAAACGTGTTCTTGTTTCTGTACACTGGGTTACACACTGACACCTAATTCTCCTCCATTAACGCACACACAAACACACAAGTTGACACTCTACGTCTAAACCACTCATTGTTTTTCTCCGGAGCGCTGCCTCCAATAATATTTGTGACACTTAGGGTTTCACCCTCGTCCCTTCCTGGCTTCTATTCCTTTCAGTACAAAAGGTGACAGTAAAACAATACTGTAAACAGAATAAGGCTCATTAAATTATTCAATACCAGTACACCAAATCTTCTTCATTGTTTTTCCACTCCTGCTTTTGTGACTCGGCTCAATCTTTTAGAACTAATATGAAGCTCCTTGTGACTTCTACCTTCAGCTCATCGCGGGGGCTTCGTACAGTAACCTAAACATCTGGTGTTGCTACGAAAACACGGGGCACTTTAATCAGCGCGGAGCGAGCAGAGCTGAACAGATACACAACGTTTCTATTCACAACATGAAATGTCAACACCACCACCGCTGACGGTACGCAGGCACATCTGGTCAAACTCGAACCAGAGCAATGACATTTTTGGAGCTGCACATGTGAGCGGAGTCCCCAGAAGGTCTCGCGGATCCGTCGGTGGCCGATTCAAGCAAGTGAGGAAAAAGGTTGGTGACATTTTTCAAAAACACACACGCGAAAAAAAAGATAATTTATTGTTGAATAATTGAGCTGTAATGGGATATTAAAATAAGAACATGACAGCAATGCAGCATGGTGGACATAATCATTATGATTTCATCCGCTGACGATTTTGTTTTGTCAATGAATACACGAGGAGCAAAGACGCAGAACTTAAGTTAAGTCTTAAGAGGCTTTAAAAGCTTCATTTGAACTTCTTGTCCAGGCAAAAGTCCAAAACCCAACGATATTAAATATATAATTAAATACAACCCTCATTTTAGAGAAGCTCAAACGAGCAAATATTGGTCAGATTTTCACGATTAATTGTTTAAACTATTTAACCAATTATACAAAAGTAGGACCCAACACATTTTCAAATCATGGTCTAATCGTGTAATCTCAGACGTATCCTCCAAAAAAGAACATTTGTCGTAACCCTGCATTTCAGTTTCAGCCGCTGAAACCACCATCTCTGAGGAATTAGGATCAAATCGTGTTGAAGCTGCAGCCGCTCGGTGAAAGCTCGGTGGAATCCAGAGGGAACGAGAGCCGGAGAGGAGACGGGTGGAGGTGCACGGGGTAGTTAAAGAAAGGTCAGTGAAAGATGGAGGTGAATTGGAAATGTGCGCGTGAACAGGAACTCGTGGGTAAGCGGGCGAAGGAGGCAAAGAGCCAAACTATATTAAAAGAGGATATAAAGTGGTGTAAGGGAAGAGAGGGGAATCGGATCGGCAACAATGAATGGCAGATATTGAGCCGGCCCTTCGGGAGGAAACAGACTCCGCCAGAGAGACTGCTCCTTGTTCGCTCTGCAGGTCTCCATCTCAAAAGCCACCGGCCTGCCGCCCTGGCACTTGGGTTTTGCCGGTTACCTTACAGGCAGCACTCTGCGCCTGAGGGGGGTATAAGCTCCCCTTTTCCAGCTTGGCCGGGCCACTTAGGATTGTATGCGCATTATTATGGCGCACGCACACAAACACGAGCACCCTGCCAAGAAGCATAACAACAACGTGCCAGCCGCACCATTCAATTCTCATTACGAGAACAATTCCGCGATAAACAACACCACCAATTCCCTTCCTTTGCTTCTCTCTCTCATGGCACCTTCCTGCTCGTTTTTTATTCTTTAATTAAAATCATGTGTACACGAATGGAAAATACACCGCTACAAAAACAATATTATGGAGCGCAAATAGAATGCTCACGTTGTCCAAACTTTCAAATGAACCCCTGGCTCTTCAACTCTACAGCAGCACGTTGCCTGACGGAGGGCGGGGGGGAAGGTGGTGGGGGCGACGGAGGGCATGTTTTCACATGCAGGGCTCACTGTTTGTTTCATGAATCCTATTGCGTTTTTTTCTATTTTGTTTTCCTTGGGCGGAAGTTGACCAATTATGACATCCCCCGCCCCCCCATCTCTGTAAACCTGTCACCAGGATTCACCCCTCATTGTTGTGCTTCTCCCTTACACTCCTCTGGTGGGACGTTAATGACCGATGATCAGGTTTTTTTCTCTTGAGGAGGAGTGGGAGGGGGGTGGGGGGCTGGCAGAGACCCTGCCTCATTAACGCTGCCGGTGGCTCGGGCACATTAGCATTTGCAGACGCCGTACCCTCCGTTTGGCTTCAGCGTTATTGAATAGATTTCTGCTCAAGGTTTATGCATAAGGAAAGACAAAGACACACACAGAACAGTGTGTCCAGCACCAAATGCTGGTAAGAAAATTCCCCTTTTTCCCTGCAGGGATGGAGGGATTTAGCCAGAGGATAATAAACCAGGAAAGTGATTGCATGCAATTGCTCTGAGCAACAATTTACACATTTTCCTTCTGATAACCATCAAATGAGATTAGCACTGGAAGAGACGAAGGGAAGGGAGACGGAGAACTGACAAAAGCCACTTGGTGCGCTAATTAGCGTTGGAAGAGCTTACTTCACAAAGCATTGCCTTTTAGAGTTTGGTTTATCTGCTTCTTATTGTAATTAGATAATCAGCTCTCACTACGTGGAAACGCGGCAGACGGATGTTCACTGATGAACGTCGGAAGCGTTTTTTATTCACGTCACCATGCATTCGAGCATTCCTTTGCATGTTTGCTTGATGAATGACAAACAATTAAATTATGCGCAAACTTGCCATTGAATCACGCGTCTTAATCAGCTTCCCAAATCAATCAACGCACGCATCGAGTTACTTAAATATAACTTATCAACACTTAACTCTTGTGGTCTAAACTCAAGCGTCTAACTGACACCATGAATTGCGCCTTGACAGTTGACAACTACAGGACATACAACCGGATGGATGGACAATACCAAAAAGTAACATGCACAAAAACATAATCGCAATTAGGCGATAGGCTTTGGTTCGAACTTGAAGCGCCGTGTGTTAGTTCCAGCTCTTGTTCAGCTGTCATGGCCTCCAATGAAGCAGCCCTATGAAGCCAGTCCGACGTTTTTACCCGTTAACTTCTTCTGAAGGTATTTTGAAGCTCAAATGTTGATTTTTCTTTTTTTTTAATTCTGCGGTAGGGTATTTTTGCTCTCAAGAATGCTTTTCTCGTCGCTGCTATTTCTAGTCATTTTTAAATATTCATCACACCCATGAAAGACCGAGAGTGTGAGCAGCCTCTGTGTTATATTCGTACTTGTGGCAGGCTCCGGGGTTGTTGGTGCCATTTTAAAATGGCATCTGGAAAAACATCTGCAAAAGGTGTGTGGTTTAGCGTTGGACAAACATGCACGTGCATGTGCACACACACACACACACGGCGACACAAAACCAAGAATATGGATGCAGAATCACGCTCCCTTCCAGCTCTCTCTAACCATCTCTGCTGTGAAGAGCCTGCCCGTAAACGGGCGGCGGATGACTAGGACGCCTGTTGTCCCCGTTACCGGGGTGAGAAAGCAGGTCGGGGACGGATTCAGGCAGGTGGTGAGACAAGCGGTCAGAAATATCGACCTTACGGGAAGAGAGAGAGGCATGCTGAGACGGGCAGAGGTAGGAACAGGGATCGAGGTAGAAAGAATTTCACTAGTTCTTTTTACTGCGTAGATATCGGAGAAAAGCTCCAACGTGTTCAAAGGAGACGGTTGAGAAGAATGCAGTCTCTGGTTTTCATGAAAATATGTAGAAATAATACAATTCTACACACACGCATGTATTTTATTTCCATGTCTGCTTCCCGCACAATCTCTACTATTCATCTTTCCGTCAACTTTGCAACATCAACGCTTTTTTCATCATTTGACGCTTTCTTCTGATCTTTTCTGTGCTGCCAACCGAGCAGTTAAAAGGCTTGAAGTGTGGCAGAAACAGACGGCTCGACTGCAAACCGGGTGCCTGAAATAGAAGCTGAAATAGTTTGAATCTGTGCTGAAGAAAGCAGGGCTCAGGGTTTTCTTTTGTTGCCACCAGAGTGGAATGGCCCGTAGTTATGCAGACAGAAAAGAGTCATGGTAACTTTGCATAAAGGCAGCAGCGAGTGGCAGGATTTCATAATTTCATCATTGCATATTGTCACTAGCAACTATAACAAGCCTCACTAATATGCCAACAAAACTAAATGGGGACATTTAGACAAACACACATAGAACATTACTCATTCACAATGCGACACCATTAAGTCCGGTTATTCAATGTCACCTTGGGTTGTGGAGGCTTATGCTTTCCATTGTAAACGACAATGATAAAGTTAAGAAGTCACTTTCTTTGTATATAAAGAAGTCACGAGGAGAAGAAAGACGAAGACAATACAAATATCAAGGGTCTGAAAGTGGAAACAATAACTTGATAACACAATTCAAACGTAAGCGCGACTGAGGAAGGGACAGAGAGAGAGCGAGAGAAAAAGTGAGAGAGGGATTTGTCGGTGTAAGATTTATTGTTTTAGGGCCGGAGGCATTGGTTGGACACTCTGAGCACTCTAGTTTGCGTTCCACTTGGTGTGCAGTATGTGGAGACCATTTATCCATATCTGGAGGGCGAGTCCAATGGCACCACTGAGGAGGCTGCAGTAAGCTCGCCCTGCAGCCAAAGCAAGAGGCTGTACGCCATCG